ACCCTAATAGAGTGATTACCCCTCCCCCCCACTTTTTCTCAGCTTAGAAAACTTTTTGGGGAGAGCATTTAACAAATCTTGTAATACTTCACTTTTCTTATAAGTAGTAGGATGATCAGACTTTAGACGAGCAAATTTTTTTATGTTATGTTCTAATCCCTGCTGACTAGAATCTACAACAATCACAATCAAGTTTACACCTATAGAGTGGGGTCCATAACCAAACAATTATGACAAACGCACGACGAGGTGTAAAGTGCGAGAAACCTTGGGTCACCCACCGCAGTACTAACCCCGCTAGTGGAGATTTGCCTCCTAAGATTTGGTCGGGATGAGGTACTTCCCGGCAAGTATGACCGAGCTCACTTCGGTGACAAGTCTAGAGAATTAATAAAGGATAACGTAATAGACAAATAACTAAAAATCAGTAAAAAATTCTACCATTCCTTTTTTTTCCGCTACTTTTACAACATTTATTAACATTGAAAGAATTGAAGTTAGGAAAACGCAACTGCTTAAAATAAACACTTTTTCCCATTTTTAGTTAATAATCAGAGAAAAAAAACTGTTAATTTCTGAGGCCTCTAACGTTTTGCCTTTAACAAAAAACCTAAAAACTAGGCATTTTTATTAGCTGGCGTACAGCATAAATTAACAAACTGGGCTAGGGTCATCCACGACCCAGTGTTACCGTGGTGGGGTTAAGGTGTGGAGTTTTAACGCATTTAAAAGAGTACATTATAGATCGTGCTTGCTTAATGGTGAAGTAAAACTTAGTTAGTTTAATAAGAAAGTTTGCTTGGGGGCATTAAGAAACCAACCTAAAACAAAAATTTATCACTAAAATAAGCGAGCCCCCATACACAAGTTAAAAGGAAACGAAGCTATAACGGTACTAAAGTCGTAAACTTAAACTTTTAATAGTTGTCTGGATGTTATAACTTATGAACTAATAATGAAAAAACCTAAAAAAGCTTTTTAGTAAAGTCCGACATAAGACGTATTTTAAAGATACAAAATAATAATTATATATATTTTAGAACCCTTTTTAAACCCCTTTCAAAAATCAACTTGAGTTAAATTTAAATATCAAGGATATTACAAAAGGAAGTATAAATTAAGAAGTAATAAATTCATAAAAAAATTTAAAAAAAATCTCTTTTTCAACATAAGAACATAAAGATTGTAGATCTGCAGTTTATTGACAACAAATTGTAAAAGGTGAGTGAAGCAGAAGGGATGACATTCCACCATCTTTTGAATAATTACCGTCAATTATTTCACTAAGCAGGTAACTTATTAAAGAACAGCCAGAAATAAAACTTTTGTTTAGGAAAGAATTGAAAAATAGCTTATTGATGAGCCAGTTTTTGAAAAAAGTTAACTAGAAGCAGCAAAAAAATAAGTTAGCGCAGAAGGAGGAAAGAGTGGAAAGTATGTCCAAAAAATTCTTTTTAAAAAAATTAAATTGTAAGCAAAGGCTTGATTATATATTATGTAATAGGCCTTTGTAGCCCTTAAACATAGTCGCTCATTAGCTTAAAAATTATGCATCCCTTTCAAAAGCTAGAGACAAGACAGGAAATTAAATGAGGTTTCTTGTTAGCTATATCTTCGGTTTAAAATTCATGACTAACCCCACAAGAGGATAGCAAATGGTCCGGCGATTTACTTCTTTCCAATGTCACCTGCCTTTCTGTGTCAGCATCTGCTGTACTAATGACGCTTGTCAAGTGGTATCGTCGTTGAGAAATTACTATTAAGCAGAAAAGAGCAGCCTATATGACGAAGAAGTGCACTACACCTCTGCCGCTGCTACCTTTTGAAAATAAGGTAATCCTTGGTGTCCTCAGGCCAACCACCTTGGGGCCCACAAGAAGCTCTCATGGCAGCCGCACGTAAACTATATCGCGGTTCAAATCTTTACTCTTTAATTAGTGCTAAAAGCAAAACTCTCGTTGAGCATAATGCACCGTTTGCATGTGTTTTTTTTCTATCCAGTCATTTAGGACATACGCATCAGCCGACTGCGCCTGGGCCCTGCCGGTAATATCCTTTTTACCTCATGTAAATTTAAACAAAACAAGCTGCTACATCTTTTAACGGCCCCACCGTGGTTTGTTCGAAAAAACACCTTGTAGGATCTCGGGTATAGCCACTGCTACCATTTCTCGGCGCAATGCTAAGAACATCTATGAAACGGCTTAATGTGAACACCAATTGAGTAGTAGCAGATGAGGTCAGTTACGAAATCTGGGCCGAGGCACGCTTTCGCCGATCGCACAATGAGCTCTATATATGTAATATGGGTTAGGGGTAGAATTGTTGTTGATATATATATGTATGAAATTGCTTAAACACAAGTTAAAGCTAATATATATGCTATCACCCTGTTGAGAATTCGTAAATTCTGTTTTTCTTAACTAACCGGTCAAGTACCAAGAAATATCATTAATAAAAAAAAATATGTGACCTCTAAATACTATTCTAAAATTAAAAAATTATTTTACCGAGGGTAAAAATTTTTCGTAATTAAACTATTCTGTAAAGGCCCTCCCGGGTCTAGAACGATTACTAGTTGCTTATTTTTTTGTATCACTGTTACTAATGTAAGTAATATCATGTTACATTAATTAATTTGATTATTGATACTAGTAATACAATTTTTTATTGCTATAATTATTATTATAATTAAAGGTTTCCGTAGAGTTTAAAAAAAAAAGGTTAGGATCTAAGTTGTACCTCTCGATCAAAGTTAGGTAAAATGTGTGCTGAATTCTATGAACAATTTGCTTTTAATAGTATAATGAAGTTTATAACAGACTCAAGTTTACCAGACCAGTTTAAAGTTGCTACTGTAGACGAACCTAAGCATACAAAACAAGTTGTTAGGTAGGATTCATATTAGGTTATGGATGGCGTTCCGCGTTAGCTAATACTGGATGTAAGCAGGGCGTTATTTTTTTTTTGCGCAGAGTAGAAAACGCTTCTAAACCTTCACTTTCTTAGTAAGGAATTAGTAAAAAGATGTTAGTAGGGAGTCATTTATTTTAGATAGGTGGTTAAAGTAAGAGCTAGTATGACAGGTAAGGGACTTTTTATTCTCTCTATTTTATCAGAAAAAAGGGTTTATTCTTCGCAGCATTAACTATAACTTTCCATGTGTCGAATTTCTTTATAATAAAGCTGTTCTTAAAAGGTTAACATGTAAAACCATCATACCGGAGTCGAGAGTTGTCGTCGTAAATCAGCGGTTAAGAGCATTGACCCGCATACTCAAGACCGTAGGTTCCATCCCTACCCACGCGACTCTCTTCATCGGTCTTTGATGACCGCGTATTTAACTCAGATCTCAAATTTTAATCAGAATTTTTGTTTGTTTGCAGGGAAGTTGTACACGTAATCGCTAGACCACCAGATATGTGCGAGTTGGCGCCGACTGGAATCTAAACGCGAACCTAGAGTATGCGTTTCAATGCCCTTAACCGCTGAGCTACGTTGAAAACTCTCGGTCCCGGTGGGATGGCTTTATGGATTCAACCTGTTAGTCTTAAAACTGCAATAATCGGGATATGGACGTCTGAGCCGTGTTGTTCCTATGATTATATAGGTAATGGAGGAAAAATACTCTTTTAAATAACCTCAGCTATTAGCTTTCCTATAACAAAACTTCCCTGTACTTATTTTTTAAGTGGAAACAACTATTTCAAAGATACAGTTTACTTGAGGTTGAGGAAAAAGAACTGAGTTGAATCCTGAAATAAATTTAAAAAAAGTAGTCCCAACTTAGGGGAAACAGGAATAAACCCTGCTAACTAAAAAACTTAGCATTGCTCAAATAGTATAACTCCTGTTTTGGTAGCTCAAATTTATACTCGGAGTAAGCATCTCTATAAAAACTTGAAGAATTTGTTTTTTAAAATAAACTTGATATGCAAAGTTTTTCGAATTCTATTAAAAAAAAAGTTTTTTGTAAACAGTCTTACATAAAGATTACATCTCGACTCCTAGTGCTATATCACTAGCACCTTGTAATAAAGATATTCTATAACATGACAGTAAGGAGGTTCCAATTCATTTGTTTTACCAAAACTATTTTGAAAAAAAAAAGACTTGGTTATTCTTAAAGTTATAATTATATATATTAGCCCTACCTCCTCCAAATTTAAAATTGTTATGTTGAAGTTGTAAAAATAAACGCTATTATTATAATACGAGGTTGGGGCTTGTAATACTTTTAATATTAAAGTTATAGTTACTGGAACCGACGTTGTCATAATATTACTAGTGCTGCTGTTAGTGATTTAGATCAATGTTACTAAAAAATTATTGGTAACATGACCTAAAAAGTGGTTTTTATTATACTTAGCATCTTACTGTTCTTGTAACATTTCCACACATTCTTCAAGTATAAATACTTCAAAGATCCATAATTTATTAAAAATTCAAAGCAGATATGGGTAATTTGTTTTCTTTTTAATTTCATTTGGCTCTTTCGCCTTAAAAATTATGTGTTCTAAACATTTTTCTTTATGCGTGTTTAGTTTTGCTTTGATGGCTTAACTCCAATATAGGTACATTATTGAACGCCTATAAAATAGCAATAAGGTCATATTGAGCCTCTCCGGTAAAGGAAAGACTATTAAAGGTTAAGTAACTTAATATTTATATGAAAGAAAAAAAGGATACAAAAAAGAATAGACTTTAATTCTGTATAAATAAGAAAAGTAATTGACAAAACAATAAAATCACTTGTAAACAAGCGAAGTATTTACAGTAAAATTAATTTTAAAATGTAAATAAACATTAGAAGACATATAGCTAATAAGTTAAAAAAGTATTTTTTTAACATAGAGCTCTGTATATACTAAAAAATATAGTCCGTTACTAAGGTTTCTTTTTTATGTATTTTGCTTTAATTACATAAAAGTAAGCACGTGGCTTTCACTGATAGAGCTATATACGTTCTGTTTACACTAGCTCATCGTGCTTCTGTTTCTCCGCTCGGCATGGTTTTTGAGGAGGTTTAGTTTTTACCCGTTCACCGTTATTTTACTTTAAAATTGTTTTTGTACGTTTTTAATTTTTAATGTACGCCTTAAGGTGGTTATTATAGATGCAAGAGATCATATTTTGGGGCGTCTTGCGTCAATCGTTGCGAAGGAGCTCTTACAGGGACAGAGAGTAGTTGTTACTAGGTGTGAGGGAATAGTGGTTACCGGTTCTTTGTTACGCACCAAGCAAGCTTTTCTTCGGTATTTGAATAAGCGAACGAATACTAAACCTTCTAGAGGCCCCTTTCATCACAGGTAAATTTAATCTTTTACCAGTAAGCATATTTTTTTTTATTGGGGGGAGTGGATAAAATTATTATATTATTCTAGATCTCCTTCTCGTATGTTTTTTCGCGTCTGTCGTGGAATGCTTCCTCACAAAACTGCCAGAGGAGCTTCAGCGCTGGCTCGCCTTCGTGTCTACGAAGGAATTCCTCCAGAGTACAGTAGAAAAAAGCGTATGGTTGTTCCTGACGCCCTTCGGGTGCTACGGCATACACCTGGCCGAAAAGTTACTCAACTGGGTTTGTTAGCTAAGGAAGTTGGGTGGAAATATGCTGATACCGTTGAAGCATTTGAAATTAAAAGAAAGAGAAACAGTCTTAGGTTTTATAAAAAAAAACTTGCTAACAGGAAAAGTTTATTAGCTTCTAGATCTGTTATTAATAACAAAATATCTAACAAACTTGAAAATTTTGGTTATTAATAAAAATAAAATAAAATAATCTCATTATATATTTTTTAGAGCTTGTAGTTATCTATTATTTTTTTTTTTGAATTTATATGTGATAAAGCCAGTACATTTAATATGTTAGAAATATAAACATTATGTTTAAGTAACAGTCTATACACTAGCATTGCTCCTTATTAGACAACTTGAATCAGAGCCAGCCAGATTCGAATTATTTCCGTTTTACCGTAATTTATTGGAGCGGGGAAGATTCGTAGACTTTAAGTTTTTTAGGCATAATATTTATTGCCTTACCAAAAGTGTCCTACGCCTAAATCTTTGTATTTTATCAACTGAAAAAAATTATGAGGCGAGACTTTTGAAAAGTGGTGTAATACATATAACCTTATAATTTTTTTTATATCAATTATGTTACCAAGAGAAACTCAGTTAAAATTTAATTAAGTACACTTTTTATATTTATAGTTTTTAAAAAAAGTTTGGTTGCTCGATATTGTTATTCCCGGTTGTATGACAGCGTCCCCTGTATTTTAAAAATCTTTTTGATAAAACAGCTTATGCAAAAATACAATCAGGTCGTAGACTATTCTCGAGCGTCATAAATATTGTCTACAGCACAGGATAACCTTTACTTTTATATTTTGGAACTTAGTTAAGATATTTATTTTATCATAGTAAATAAACTATATTTGTCCAGTTTATACGTTTCAAGGTTTGTTTAGTTTTAAAATTATTTACTTGGCGAGCACGTAAGTGCCTAACTATTAATAGGATAAAATTATCCGCTACGACAATATTTTTTTTTATTAATTGCTAGTTGTTTTGTATGAAAGATAAATCGATAGAAAATGAATGCCATAAATTTGTGGTAGGAGAGGAAAGCAGCGTTTAAATACTCCTTACAAGTATAAATGGTCGTGTTTAAATAGTCGTTCGCTGGAACTTCAAGTGTTAAGCCTGATAAGTAACTAAAACAAACTACCACACCTTTTGTAGCTTGTAGTGAAGCGGCTGAAGCAATGTTTTCGCATTCTTCACTTTATTTTCGTAAAAAACTTGCATATGTCAAGTTTTTTTTGAGGAAACAGTACAGATAAGACCTGTTTTGTGCTGGCACTAGGAATATATATAACCGTACCTAGTGGCATAGTTTAAATGTTTAAAAAAGATTTATACTTAGGTTAATCCTCTAAAGTCAACTGCCAAAGTGACCGCAGGGCAGATATTAAAACAAATTCACTGTATTTTAACTTCTTACATTTTTAGGAAGCCTTAATTACCACAAATTTATTAATATTGCTCACTAAAAAAATGATACTTTTTTATACTATGAAGGACTTTGTCATTTGTGTTTATGAATTACACAACTTTAAGATTGCAAAAAACCAACTTTTATATTCCCATCATTAAACCAACGTATAGAATTGTGCAAAGTAAAAACTAAAATAATTTTTTTTTAGGCTTAAAAAAACTTAGAGTGAACTTTTAGATTTTTTAATTAAAGTGGAAGACTTTAAATATATTATAAACAATGTAGTGATACAAATTGTTTACATGTAATGCACTTAGTCATTCAGAAAAAGAAAAACGGGTATAATATAAAAAGTGTTCCGCCCTTATTAAAATTAAAACGACGTTTGCTATGAAATTGTTAGGATTGGTATGCGCGAATTAGTCACATTATTGGGTGTTTTTACTTTAGTATCAGTTATAGTAATACGTCCACGTCTGTTAATATTTATTTACTTATTTTTCCTTTTAAATGCTTGAAGAGTATTATTACTTAGTTACCTTGCAAGAGAGCTTTTTATATTTTAAGCAAATCTGGCCAAATCTTCTGAGAAAGTTTTATGAACACTTTTTAAATTTATTAACTGCTTTAACACATTTGAGTAACTACTTTCCTATATGAAGCTATGTTTAATATTTGATTTACACTAATATATTTGTAGAAGTGTATTTATGGATCTTTGCAGCTTTTCTACTATCTTGGGCTTTCTTTTCATTGATCGGTTTTTATAAGAATCGATATTACCAAAAGGAAATACAGAGACAGTCTAAGGATGAGCTTAATTTGGATTTAAATTCTTCGTTATCAGGCAAAACTTTGGACAAAGTTGCCAAGTGACTTTTTTAAAAGCTTATTTTTTATTTCATTTTAAATAATAACTTTTTCTGTTCCGTTTGTAAAAGAAATGTTGATAAGTTGCCTCATTCTCTCCGTCTTACGACTACCCATAGTGGAGAAGGTTTTCCTCTGCGAAGAAGAGTTAGAAAAAGAGAACGGTTGCTAGCCATTGCGAAGGTATGGTTATTCTTTTTCTTGAACCCCCCATATACTTGCGTACTCGCCGGGGTATGTTTATAACTCCAGAGCATCCTAAGAAAAAAAGTTCCGGACCGCTCTGAAACCGCTCCTCTCCTTATAGAGAGAAAACTACCACCTTTAAACGTTCAAGATGAAGAGAAATGTTATAGACTATAAAATATTATAATTTTATTTAAAATAATTTTGCGACAGCTGGTAAAGGTCCGCTTTATGACATCTTTTCTTGTTTAAAGACTTGCCGAATTTTCGGCCATTTTGACGAGCTTGTTTTTTTGGAACTTTGCAAATTTGTTGAAACTATTTCTCTGGATAAAGGGGAATACTTATTTCGTTCTGGAGATCTTGATGATTCTGTTTATTCGATTTCCAAGGGTTCCTTAATGGTCTTTCCTATAAAACTTATTTACCAATTATTTCTAAAAAATTGCATAAGATTTACATTAACGAGGAAAAAGAACCACTAGTTCCTATGTTTAAAGTCAGTGCTGGAGAAAGTATAGAAAGCTTGCTGAGCATTATCGACGTCCTTTGTGGCGAGGAGTTAAGATTTGATGGTTTGGAGGCCGTTGCTTTAGAGCCTTCTCTGCTTATTAAACTTCCTATCAAAGTATAACTTTTTATAAATATTCGGCGAGTTTTATAATAGTGCACTCTAATAGCGGGCGCTTCCATGTTTCAGGAAGTTTCCTTTTCTACTACAAGAACTGCTGCGTTCAAATGTGAATCGCCTCCACCGCGTGATCTTGCCTGTTCTCTATAAATATTTCGGACTCGCTCAGGATTTATTTGTTCCGCCCGCATCTGGCTATGGTATTTCTTAATTTTCTTAATTCTTTTCTTTTTTAGAATTTAATTAATTACAATTTTTTGAGCTGAGCGAATACAATCAACACTACGAGAGTTTAAAGAACTTTTTCAGCACCAACAACTTTGCCCTGACGCAGACTTTGCCGTCACTGCGCGATCGTTGGGATCGCCCGTCGATCATCAGAGCGAGGTCTCCAGCCCTTCCAGGGATGCCGCCTTGAACGACCACTCCGCTCTAAATAAAGCTGCCACGGCTTTAGCGCAACTGCTTGACGTAAACGACATTGACTTTTGGAAGGATCATTTAATTATAGAACGCCTGAAATCAAAATCAGCCGGTCTTTTTCTTTTAATAAAATCAATTCTTAACTTTTAATCTTTTTGAAATTAGTGGCACTTGCTGGGCAGTATCCCTCCGAGCTCCACTTCCTGTATGTGCTGAGTGGCAAGTTGAAGCTCTATTTGCCCAGCTTGAAAAACAAAGGAAAAGATCTCCTCTACTCAATTTCGCAGGGAAATACTTTTGGTTTGTTTATTGCTATACTTGTTTGCTGTACTTCTGCTTATTAATAATCTTGATTAAAAGGGCACATGTCTTTACTTTCTGGAGAAAAAAACATGTTTATTCTGGAAAGCAGTAAAGAGGGTGCCCACGTCGCCAAGCTTTCATATACTTCCTTTGAAAAGCTTTTGAAGCTCCATCCGCACGTTCGTTTCGATATGCATAGACATACTAAATCTCACCGACCCGAATCTACCTCGCAGGCTGTCCTTCCGCTCGCCTACGACCTCATGCTTAGCTGCTCGCCGGTAGTCCGCCGGTATGCTTTCGGTATCCGTGAAGTGCACGTGACGGCAGGCCATCTGCTCTTCCGGCAGGGAACCGCGTGCGAGGCGGTCTACATCGTTCTGAATGGCCGCCTCCGCTCGGTTATCCAGCGCGGGAGCCACACGGAGTTCCTCAACGAGTTTGGCCGGGGGGAGAGCGTGGGCGAACTCGAGCTCCTGACCTCTTCGAATCGGGTCACGAGCGTGCATGCGGTGCGTGATTCGGAGATCGTCAAGCTGCACGTGAGTGGCTGCCCGTTGCTTTCTTAACGTATGACTCTTAGTGGCGCCTTGCAGGCTTGTCTTTTCGAGTCTCTCCGAAAAGAGTATCCTGAAACGGCCCACAACTTCAGTAGGCGGCTAAGCATGCGCTTCTTGCACAGTATTCAGGTCTGCAGCTCCCTCCCCCTTCCTTTTTTATTATTATTATTTTTAGTATTTTTTCTCTAAGTTTCGCTTTTGGCATAGTCGTCTCACTTCTCTCCGGACAAAACCTCCATTGCACACCGAAATCTCTCCACTATTGCAGTGGTGGCGATCAGCGACACTGTGCCTCTGAACCAGTTCTGCCGGTGCCTTGCAGCCGCCCTTTCGAGAATGGGTACCTTGTCTTCCCCCCTTTCTTTTTTTTAGACTGTAAAGTTTTCTGCATGGAGGATCATTTCGTCACCTCACACAGGAGTTGATCTATAAACGATTTGGAGACAAGGTCCTTTTTTTGCTCGTTTCGCCAGTGACTTTGGCCTTTACAACCAATGACGTGCGTAGATCTTTTCGATGGCTATTGAGTACCATTTGGCTAACTGGCTAAGCCACTTAGAAGAAAATAATCGCTTTGTATTGTATGAGTGCGACAAACTGGTCACTGATTGGACCAAGCTTTGCATCCGCCAGGTATTGGCTCTATCTCTTCCCACCCAGCTGACTTACCTTCCGACTTATTCCACAGGCAGACTGTATTCTGATAGTCGGGCTGGGCGCGTCCGACCCGAAATTGGGCAGAGTCGAGCGTTACCTGGAAACCATCACCAACCGCGCCCAAAAGGAACTGGTTCTCCTTCACGACTTTGCTCGCCGACCCCGTAACACCGTCAAGTGGCTTAACCTCCGCCAATGGTGCACGTCTCATCACCACGTCCGCCTATCCATTTCTTTTTAGCTGACTCCTTCTCAAGTGGTGTACAGCTTAGGTGTACCCCTGACTTCCTTCAGGGTCTTTCAAACTGCTCCTCTTTGAAGCCTCCGCCCATCGTCAGCGACTTTGCCCGTCTCGCTAGGCGGTTGGCAAATGCGAGTATTGGATTGGTACTGGGAGGCGGCGGGGCCCGAGGAATTGGGCACATAGGCATTATTCGCGCATTCGAGGAACAAGGTTGGGGCGTTGGCCCCTCCACGTCTATACGGGCTAACGGCGTCGTCTTCCGGCAGGCATACCAATTGACATGGTCGGTGGAACTAGCATAGGGTCGTTAATCTCCGCTTTGTATGCTGAGGAATTACACGTGGACGAGGTGTCACGGCGCGCTAAGGTGTTTTCTCCCGTGCGCCTGCTATTGGTGTATCTCAACATAACTTGCAGGAATGGTCGGTAAAAATGTCCTGCCATTGGCGGAAGCTCCTGGACTTGACCTATCCGCACACTTCCCTTTTCTCAGGTGCTATGTAACGGGGGCACCCGTCAACTCTCTGATTACTGGTGCTCCTGCGAGCCAGGAAAGGCTTTCAACGATTCGTTGAACGCCTTGTTTGGAGACACTTGCCTAGAGGACTTGTGGATTCCTTATTTCTGCATCACGACGGATCTCACGACCTCGAAGATGCGAATGCACCGAGACGGCGTAGCGGTTTAGTGTTGATTGGCTTCCTTATACTTTTTTCTCAGTAGTTGCAATGAGCAGTGGAAGTATATTCGGGCGTCCATGACTCTGACTGGATACCTCCCTCCACTCTGCGACCCTGTCGACGGCCACCTACTCGTGGACGGCGGCTACACCAACAACCTGCCAGGTGGCCCTAGTAACCACGTGTTTGTTTTACCCGCCAATACATCTGTTCCCTTAGCGGATGTGATGCGAGACTTTGGCGCGCAGATCATCATCGCCATTGACGTCTCAGCAGAGACCAACCAGCACACGACTTCCCGCTATGGCGAGTATCTGTCCGGCTGGTGGGTTCTTTGGAACAAATGGAACCCTTTTGCTGCCGCCCTCAACGTGTGTAACATTATCCCTGCGCAACACTTCGGTTTTATAAAAAGTGGCAGATCCCAGATTTGCCGGAAATATTAAGCCGTCTGTCCTATGTCTCCTGCGTCCGGCAGATGGAAGAGATTCTCGAGGGCGGCTACTGCCAGTACCTCGCGCCTCCCGTTAAGAAGTTTTCTACCCTGCAATTCTCCTCCTACGACGAAATACAAGAGATCGGCTACACTTATGGAAAAGTGAAGTTCTATAACACCGCGATTATGCTAAAGGAACTAACGGTGCAGCACGGCTTGCGTAGGCTGTTATTTCTGCCTGGCGCCAACAAGATTCTTTATCGTGCATATTCTCTCCAAATTCAGACAACGAAAGTTATAATGAAGAATCAATTAATAATGCAAAACAGGAAGAGCCTCCCTTAATGGAGAATAATATTATACAATCGGGCCTGAAGAAGCTCCTCACTTTGTAAAAAGACCTGTCTAATATAAATGGACAACCGCCCTTACATGACTCGGGCTATCTAGAGGCTGTAAATTTTTTTTTCTGCACTAATAAAAAGGCCGTTTAAAATTATAAGGGGACTTTGATAAAAATTATTTTAAATTTAATTTTAAACATAAAAAAGATGGAAAGGCGAGTATAAATTTCAGCAAGAGCTCTAAAGTTATAATAAAAATCTAATATTTTAGTACTTATAAAGACGCTTAAACTTACGAACATAATTAAATTCTTAAAAGTTTTATTAATTATTATACTGAGAGAATGTTCGATCGTTGTTATACAAACCTACGTCAGGTAACAACGTTTCTAATCACGAAATATCAATAGCGAGAAAACTCCGAGTTTTGTTCAACTGCCTTACCTAAATAGAAAAATAAATAAAAGAAGAAAAACTAGTAGTTAAATTATTTTATATAGAAAAGAATTCAGTAATGGTAAGTTTTGATAATCATGTTTGTCATAAACACGGACCAAAAGTTAACATCATCGTTGAGCATTAAAATATATATAATATATATATATTACCCTTCAGTATTTCTAAACATCGCGAGCTACAGAGTAAGTTTTAAGAAGAAATTTATTAACGCGCAAAACATTATTTAAAATCCGAAAATTGATAAAGTCGATAAATTATTTCACATAAGGGAAAAAAAGGTAATAAAAACTAATAAAATCACTAATATATGTAACAAGATAAAGAGCCGAACAGAGTATATACTAAGAGTAACTCCCTAAGCGAAAACAGAATAGAGTTCATTCCCTTATTCCTTTATACTTTAATAGTGCGAAGCTAATTCACATGTTTCTAAAAGGCATGCTTTTAATTTTCCACATGGTGGGCTGTGTTTTGTGCTTCTTTTTCCGGTTTTGGAAAGATAGGTAGGAAATTTTTAGAAAACAAACTACCTCTGTTGTGATTTCTTTACCTTTCCTTTTAATTTGTATTTTTTTATTATGAGTTATGTCTATCGTTTGCCAAGTATGCTGGTTGCTGGTTAATAGACTCTTTGGTGTTCAAATCCTTAAGAACACAGTCAGGTTCTTAAAAATTATGGACAGAAGTGCACTAGACTTAAATTGGTTTTGCAATTTTTATATTATAGCAGCAATTTTGATATTAAAGACATCGAACCCTTTTATTACTAACATTTTTATAAAACATTTTGGTACCGCTGTTAATAGCCCTTTTTAAAATTTATTAATTAGAGCAAAATTTTTAAACTTATTTAGCTGTTTTGGTGAAATCTGTTAATTGGAATCAGAGTTTAGCTTAGTATTTATTAACTCTAGTTTTTTAAAGAAATTTTGGATTTAAACACCAATAGAAAGAATTGTCCACTATAGCTTTTTTTATATCCTTGTGCGAATTGGTTGTAACATTTACGCGCAAAAGCCTTTAGAACAGCAACTTTACAATAAACAAGCCTCCTTATAGAGATTATAAAGCGTAAGGTATTATGAAAAAAAATAACTTACAAGCCACTATTTAGAATGCTTATATATCATACTTAATGTACTACTAACGCAATGTTAAGACAAGGGGAAAGAAGGACTACGTTAAAATTTATGAATAGCAATACTTAGCTCAGCTAAAAAATACATACCATTAAGATAAGGCGTTTAATCAATGCTAGTTCGTTAGTATCACAAATTATTAAGTTAACACAAGCAAATTAAGAGGTAATTTGTAATACCCGAGATATCAAGTAAGCTTAACTTAAAAATACTACAAAAACTAAAACATTAGGTAAACAAGACCAAATCTTCCTTTCATCGTTACTCTTTCTAAACACATGGTCTGGAAACTCCAATATAGATTCGCGTACAGATATTTACTGTAAAATTAATAAATTTCTCGCTATAAAATTTTGTAACCACTCTTGATTATATATTCAATACTAACTTTCTTTCTAACTTTTAAATTCAGCCTTAGGGAGGTTATAATAAAGTACAAGAAAGTCATCTAAGCAAAGGATAAACAGACTTTATAAATTATTTGTGGAAGTCACATTCGTTCAAAAAAGTGTATTTCTCTTCAGAAAACTTCATACTTAATATAAATAGCTCATATATTAAGCAAATATTCCTCACAACTCGCACCGGTATATAAAAATGAAAGGGCTAAACGCGTGGGAACTGAAAGTTTCAAGGGACGCATCATAGAAAGTTGTTCGGTGTAAAGTGGTTTTCTGCTTCTTCTTTCCATTTTGATTTTTTTAGAATAGCCCTGTTGGTATATCTGCTTTTGGCGGAGATATTTAAAAGTATAAGTTTTAAAATATAAAGGCAGCTTTGTGTATTTTAATACAGTTTATGGTAGAAAAATAATTTTTTTTTTAAATTAATAAATCTTTAAAAGTGAGACGTTAAATATGTTTAATCCTTCGCTACCTATCGCCCACCGCCTTCCCAGATAAGTCTTTTGCTTAGATATTACGAAATATTTACATATATGTATTTGAGTTATAATTGAATACATCTCACAGTTCTTTACCCGATATTGTGAACTTTCAACTCGAGCTTAAACAAAGCGTACGAAAACAAATTGCTATATTTAACTTTAGCATAGAAAGAAACAGGCTTACATGGGAGTATCTCATTGGTATGCTTACCAGTGCTTTAAATATATGATTTCAATTACTTTTAAGTCTTAGAATGCATCTTCAACATCGTTTCCGAAAGGAAACTAAATACTGAATTTGATATAACACCAGAAGTTATTGCAAGTTATCCTGTTTACGTTATAACTTCTGTTTATGTTACTTTATTAACTTTTATTTAGGTTCGTTGAAATATTTTAGTTCATCGAGAACCAAAATCGAAAAAACTACACTTCTCACTCGGGAAAACATGAGATCTTCCTTCCAGGTAGAAGGCGTTGCTTAATTTCAAAATCATTTATTTTTGTTAATTCTATAAATGATGTTTATAAACAGAGTATTTTTAAAAACTACAACTCTTTTTGCCGTTTAAGTCGGGATACGGCTGCAGATTTTAAAATCCGTCTAATAATATTACTTTCTGATTTCCAAATTAACCCTTTTAGTCTCTTGAATTCTACTTTTATGCCCACTTCGTTCGGCGTTAATTCTCTACGTCGGCTTGGAGGTTTTGTTAATTTTAATAACTGAATTACTAATCTAACACAAAAACTAACGTCTTAAAGTTTAAATTTTAATTATTGTTTGTAATAGAATTTTTATAAAATTATTAGATTCTTCCTCGCGGTTGGACTTTAGTTTGCTTGCGCCCGGCTCTCCCGATCTTGGAGCTAATTCTCTAACGCAAACTTTCCGAATCTCTTGTATTCTAGAGACAAACCTCGGAAACCGGCGCCAGGAGTGTGTCATTGAGCTTAGTGTCTTCGAGGTGGAAGTCTTGATTCATAAATTTTAAACAATAATTTATTTTTTTTAGATAATAGAAATTTATAAAGCGGTGGAGAGACAATGCCAGTTTCTCCAACAACAGCAACAGTTTCACCAGCAACTTCACCAGCAGCAGCAGCAACAGCGGCAACAGTTCCACCAGCTCCACAGGCACCAGCATCAAGGCCGGGAGCAACACGTGGACGATCCGCATGCATGCGAAAACCCCTTCAGCATTGTCGACAGCTCGCACATCTTGCATTAATCAGCTTATACATAAAAAACATGCAGAGCCCCCCCCATTCCCCCCCTCTTCTGTAATATTCATGCACAAAAGGAGAATTCAAAAACTTTTTTTTTTATTTATTTGCTGGAGAGTGCGGCTACGCCTGGAAGAGTCTTCCCCTCGAGAAGCTCCAGGCTCGCCCCACCACCTGTGGACACGTGCGATACCTTATCTTCTGTTTTGTACTTCAGACAGCACGTGGCCGTATCGCCGCCACCTGTGCGTTCAAATCACAAGTGAAGGTGCTGCAGGTGTTGTTTACGTGACTAGGCGTGTTTACCTACTATGGTGATGCATCCATTTTCTGTGGCTCTAACAATGTCATGCATCAATCTCTTTGTTCCGCTCTCAAACCTTTTAAATTCAAAAACGCCAAGGGGGCCTGCAAGTACTTCATCTGAGACCTTCAGAAAATATAAACAGGCCAACTGAGACCATTCCACAGGATCTGCTTAGCTTCTAAGACAGCCGCGGTGAACCGTTCGCTGGATCGAGGTCCGCAATCTAGCCCCATCCACTTTCCAGGGATGCCCTCCTCGTCAGTGGCGTATCCGACCTGCAAATTATAAAGTAGTCATTTTTTTTCTCGGCACTAAATTAAACGGGGTCCAACCGTAGCTTCTTGAGAATAGGAGTCGGCTGTCACGTAGTCACAAGGAAAAATCAGCTCAACGTTTTTGCTTTTTGCCTTTTCCGCAATATCAGCAACTATTTTAGAGCCGTCTTCGTCAAACAACGAGCCGCCAATCTACTCAAGTTATAGAACAATAGGGAGAGTCACGAAAATTTTAAAAGAGTGTAGAGCTCCACCGAAATGCCATATAAGGTTTTTTTAAAAGTATAGGCCATCCCACCTCCAATAATTAGTTTATCGACTTTGTCAAGCATTGTTTTTACAAGCTGAATCTTGTCAGAGACCTTTGCCCTGCCAACAACAAGGTAGTCCTTAAGGTAAAAACTAATCTAAAGTTGATCTACAAGTAAACACCCTCCAAGAATAGCTAAAAACGGCCGTTTGGGAGACTCCAGAACCATAGCAAAGTAGTCCAGTTCTCGTTTCATCAGTAAACCTGCACAGCGAAGGGGGAGGTTAATTCCCACCATCGAACTGTGCGCCCTGTGCGCAGTACCTTAAGAAAAAAATTATAATATTTTATTCTTAGAAGGTGTTATTTTTTTGACAAACAGGTTTAAAAATTTATACCGAACGCATCATTGACATAGATATCGCCAAGTTTAGTAAGGGAGTCTCGGAAGGCTTTTATTTTTTCTGAGGAGGCGCGGACGGTGGAGCCATTAGAAGCTATAAAAAAAATTGTCGGTGGTTTACATAGGATTCAAGCTTCGTCTTTACATTTTCCCTTTCCTTCTTCTTCACAATGAAACCTTAAGTTTTCTAATAAAATAATTGCCCCTTCTTTGGGATTAGCACAGATCTTTTCGAATAGGGAAGGATATGGTTTGTTATATGTAAACCAGCTGGTACAACCACAAAGTTGTAGACCTTTTCAACTTCCGGACCAACGCAATCAGAAAGGAATATAACTTCTTTCTTTAGCAGTTCCCTTAACTTTTCTGCAACGATTTTTAAAGAATATCGAGTCTGAACCTGTCCATCAGGGCGCCCAAGATGGCTCATGAGAACTATTGTTTAGTTTTATGCTCTACACTAGTGATAATTCTAAAAACTGTTACCTATAGAACGCGCATTTTTATCAATACAATATTTAATGGTCGGTAGTGCAGCAACTATTCTTTGTGGATTAGTTATTTCGCCAGTGCTTTTGTCTTGGGGAACGTTGAAATCCACACTAACTAACAATTATCAAGTTGATCTTGACAAAAAATTTAGAATAACAACCGTATTAGAACGCGTTTCGACCTTACGTCCACATCACATATTGATAGTTTTCTACTCAAACCCATTTTATAAACAAATCTCGGAAATTACCTAGAGGAAATACACTATATTTAAGAAACGTCCTCTGTTAGTGGGTATCACCATTTTTGTTAACAAAGACGCTAAATTAAGTAAGTTTTATATGCAAACAATAAAACGCTCTGCAGCTAGAAACAATAGTAGGAATTGAACAAATGGTTAAGGGAGCTTATGCAAGTCATACTATGTGCTGACTTTTTGACTTTTTAATTACTAAGGATAGAAAGCTTAAGCAACCTAAAAATTATCCCCGACCAATTCATTTGCATTCTTTTTGGTTCCCCTTCCCTTAACTTTTGCTTTCTAATATCCTTATGCAGAATCTGGTGCGGTTGTTCAGGTCAATAAAGAATTTACCTCTTGAACCACGATGACGGCATAACAATTGATCAACTCTTCTTTATTTGATCTTTACAATAACAAAGTAGCCTTTTCTAAAAAAACGAGTTAATTGAGCTTTAAAAGTTACAAGATATCACTTAATGTCCTCTTGACTTTCTTTATAAACTACGTTTTAAACACTTAGCTACTTAGAGCTATGTAAGATCTACTATTATTACAGAAGTTAGATGCAACGCTTTTTTTAAATATACATTTCTCCTTTAACCTAAAATACTAAAATAAACATTAGCATTACCACAACCGCTCTTATCCTGAGCTTTGTGGATAGTGGGTAAGACACGGTAAAGCACAACTCTCCTGGCTGCGACATAACCTTGCCGTGTTAATTGTGTTGGGCAAATTTAAAGTTTTAAAATATTTGAGTAGGTGGAAATATATTTATAAAAATTTTTGAGAGTATATCCAAAAAAGTTACAAATCGAGTGGCGAATCATATCTTAATAAAAATAATTGCGTAAAGACCTTTCGTGCTCGCTGTGTTTGAGCGAGGCATAGAGTGTACTTCCTTCAACTTAAATTTTTTTTCCATATACCTTAGTAATTATCACAATGTTTAAATAGAATTTCAAACTTCTTATTCCTGATAAAGTGCGCTTCCGTCAGCTATAAAAAGTGGCATTTTATAATTAATCCACGAGGTGAATAATGTTAGTACTGTAAAATCCAAGGAAGCTTTTTAGTATACCGCATAATGTTGGTATGAGCTTATATTGTGGGCAATTTCCTGTCAAGGAAGAGCTTTAAGTCATATACTAAATAGCGGGCCTCGTCTTGATAAACTTCTATTTAGTAACCATAGCACGAAAAGTCTTCCAAATTAGGGTCATTCAGAATTTTTTGGTTAAGGATCGAATATAGTACTGAAGAGCGACTTCATAGCTGGTTATAAAAAAGTTCTCAGGTCCTTTTTCGAAATCTGGTTCGCCCGGTCAAGCATGCTGCTTTCTTTAGAAATGAAACATTGCTTGAAGTCAGTATGGTTATGTTAAAAAATAAATTACTACGTTTTACTTGACTTTCATTAGAAATTTATTAGTCCGATTAAGGCTCACCATATTATTTAATCAAATTTTTAAATTTTTTTAAGATCTATACAAATGATGCTTAAGTCTTCGATAACATGATGGCACTCAAGAAGTTATTTCACATATTAAACTTGGTACGAGTTCTAAAGACGGTTAGTTCTCACCGACATTAACGAAGACCGCGACCGAAACAGATAGCGCACAGCTTATTAATATAACTTTTTAGGGATGTAAGGGTAACACCCTCTAGTATTTTAATATTACAATTCAAGAAAGTCTGCTGGCTGCCGTGCGGCTGTCTCATGGCTAGAAAGGATTCTTCAAAAGAAAACATTCATTTTCTCGTTTCTGGGCCGCTGCCTGAAGGAGTAAAAGATACTTATTTTATCCAGCGTTTAATAAAACATTCCACATATAGAGGTATTTTAATTATTTGCTTAATTCGTTTTTATAATCTCTATACCCTCAACTTACTATACAAGTTTCACCTAAATCTGTTTGTTAAAATAAGTTTAACCTTTAACCTGTAACTTTTGTTATATTTTAGCAAATATTACTCTTATTAAAAATTATTCTTAGGTAATCCGATTTATTCATTCAAAGAGGTTATTATCCCCGATTTTAAAGTAGGAACGTTAGATTCCTTGATTGCTCTTTCTGACGATGTGCGCAAATATGACTTAACTTGTGAATCTCTTTTAAAGAAATTAGTTAAATTTTTAAAAGAAATACTTGATACAGTAAAATTTGAAAAAGCCATTAAAGTTCAAGGTTTGCTAAAAAATATTTTTCTACTGAATTTAATTAAAGCCCATTTTCAACATCAGTATTTGCACTTAAAAGATTTTATTAATTAGGCAAAACTTTTGAGGAATTTCTAAAACATTTTTCTTGGGATGTGAAAAAATATTATAATGTAAATTTAGTTAAAGTTGTGGAAGAAATAGCAATACCGGTTTTACGTATGGAAAGTCGGACAAAAGAGAAGATAACCACTTACCAAAACTGCAAGACTGATAATAAGTTTGAGAAGACTAAAAGCGGTTTGCGGTCTTTTAATTCTATATAACTATATTGAAGGATTTTATATGTTTAGGCTCTTTAGCCAGCAAACGTTTAAACGACATTGTGAAAAGGGAGCACGTGGTTTTGGGATCGGAGTATTTAACAACTTTATTCGTTGCTGTTCCGCGTCACCTCGAAAAAGAGTGGATGGCTAATTACGAATCTTTGACGGAACTGGTAGTCCCGCAATCTAGCCAAAAAATAGCCACCGACTCTGGTGCATCTCCCGTGTAGTTAATTTATTATTCCCAAATATAAATAATTTTTTTTTTTTTTTAGAATTTACTCTCTATTCAGTGACCTTATTCAAACGCGTAGTCGAAGCTTTTACAGAAAAGGCCAAACTGGAAAAGTTTATAGTGCGCGACTTTGTCTATGATCCCCAAACATCTGACTCTCAAGTGCAGGAAGTAAAGCAAAAAGATGCCCAGCGTAATCACGTTTGGGCCTCCTCTGTGAGGTAAGCATTAGCGGTTTTTTTATTTTAATTTAAATTTATTTTTTTAACCATCGCTTTAATTTTTTAAAAAAAATCGAGGTGGGCCAGAAGATATCTCGAGGAGGCCTTCATTTATTGGTTTCAGCTCAAAGTGATATTCGTCATCATCGAGGCCACTTTGAACTACGGCTTGCCGCCTCGTTTTCAATGCTTTTTGGTGTCCCCAGTCAGTTCTAAACAATTGAAGAAAACAAGAGCTTCTTTATTAGCTGTATTTGACCACTTAAAGTCGCCGAATTTCGATTCTCACAGCTCCGGTGGTTTGGAGGAAGGAGTCGACTCGGTCGCTTTCGCTGGCTCCGCGGAGTATTTGCCCTACACTTCTCTCACTATATCTGTAAACTTTCATCTTTAATACATTGTTGGTAATACAGTTTTTAATATATAGTGTTTATGTAAAGTTATAGTTTTTATTAATAGATCACTATTACATTACTCGATAGTTATATTATTCTACCATTTAGTGCACAAGATTCAAGTTAAGTAAGCCTACAAATGGCAATAAATTTTGTTTTAAAAAGGTTTTAATTTAACAGCGCGAACTTGCTGTTCTTTTTATTGCGGACTGAAAAGACTTGTGAAAGTTTTTTTTACTGTTAATTTTAATAACTATATCGCTAGTCATTATTTATTTACCGTAAACCACTACGCTTCTTGAGATGTTTGCCGGCTTATATGAGCTCTGCTTCTCCGCATGTTTGTTAGAGCCTTTTGAAATAGGCTTAAACCTGAGGTTGAAATATCTTTTCTTGAAAGTAAACGCATAAAAAAAAAAGGAAAATCACACCGCTCAACAGTTTTATCTCTTGGATGTAGTTGGGAGCCGTAAAAAACTGTTTTTTCTCCATTTTTCATAATTTTTTTTGATTTGAAAAAATGCGTACAACGGCTCATGAATGGCTCGAAAACTTATATGTAGGCGATTAAACCTCTTTAAGAGCTTAAGTATTTGAAGTTATTAACCCGACCAGGAATGAAAAAAAATAAAAAGACTACTCTTTTGGTTTGGTTTTCAGGACAATCGAGTATTCTCTAATTCGTCCTTCATAAAGTTGTTATACTCTGCATTTTGTCTTGATTTTTAAAAAATTAAACTTAAATACGTGAGAGGTAGACAATTTGGGGAATTATTACCCCTAGGATATTGAATTTCACTACTTAAGGAATAAGATTATTTATTAGCTATAAGCTTATGAAGAGCCAGCAATAGTACCTAAAATGGTGAGACATGCTTGGATTAAAAAAACTCGTACATTTATCTATCGTATAAAAATGTTAACCCACCGTACTCTTTAGATCTGTCAACCAGCTACTATTATCTCTCTCCCGACTTAAAAATATGTTCCAGGGAAAGAAATTTGGGTTAAACGAAGAAGTTATCGCAGAAACAGAGAGCTATTTTAAGAGCTAAGACAAATCTTTAGATTTAAAAAGTGTAGATATATTTTTTAATAGCGTTGGACTGATTGTATCACTTTTGAAGGAGAGGTGTTGATTATAAAGTTGAAATTTGTAAAAGAAGTTTATTTAGTTATTTCCGAGACTTTTTAAGTAAGGTATTACTCTCATCTAAACCTATGTATTTTTTGCATGAAAGTGGTTTACAAAATCATATCCTGCTTGTTCGGCATCCACTTCTTCTCTCTCCTCTCTATTAAAAGTTGAGGAGACATATCTTTAATACCGGTATAGTGTGTACAATATAATTTACGATTATTGAAATGGTAGTAGATGAATAAAATGCAGAAAATTAGTTTATTAATTTTGTAATAAAAAAACTGTTTACTTGGTGGCTTTAAAATGGAAAATGGAAAAGAATATTTAAAAAAAAAGTTTATATTATGACGATATTAACGCTTCGTAGTAACGCCTTGAACTTCAGGTAACCCCGTAGCATATCCTCCAAAATGGATAAAAAAACAGTACGTGCAGCACACAAAAAAGCTACCTTATATATTAAAAAGGTCTTTAGCCTAAGAAGTATATGCATTATGATTTTATTGGTGTTTATGAACTACTTTGAAGTACTGGGAAAGCCAAAAACCTATTTCGCCTGTGGATCATCATTACGGTATACATAACTGAGGTTAGCAATTTTTTAAGGCTGGAGTCCGACTAATATTATAATTTCACCTCCCTCCTACCCTCATGCCAAGAAAAAGGGTAGAAAGTCTTAAAGAAAATCCTACCATAGTTGGGAACTCTCATACTTAACACGCCCGTTGACCTTAGAGAGATGGATTTGATTAGATAGATGGAAAGTGTAGCATCACCGCCTTCCAAGGAGGACTTGAAACGTCTGAGCCAGTACGACATTTTTGTACCTTTCTCTAGGCTCATCTTTTTGTTACTTTCTACTATTATAAATATTTTGTATTGCTTGTTTTAATTTAGCGCTTATCGGGAAGGTTTCTGCACCGGGTCCATTTACTCTTTTGGTGTTGTAGCAGTTTGCTTCGGCGGTGCAAAATACTTTTGTTAGTTATTCCATGTTGTCCTAATTAATTTTTTTTAAATAAAGTAATTTTTTTAAATTATAGATAAAAATTTTGAGAAAATTTCAACTTTTATAAAAATTGGTCTTGGCGCTTTCATCGTTGGTTCTTCTGCTTTAGTTAAGGGTAACGCGGAGATAACCTCTTTTAAGGTATAGACTTCATGAACTCTATTTTTTCAGTTTAAATTTATATACTTTTATTACCTAGAAAAAGAACCCATCAATTAATTTAAATAGTATTTCAGGAACACAAGAACTATTATCATTCTTGTCCGACTATCGCTACCCTCTTATCGGTGATACTTCGCGAGTTGAAAAGTTTTTTTTTTTCGCTAAAACATATAAATAGGATTTACTTGGCTTTCTGGCCTATGCGGTTCTATATATCGGTTGGTTTGTATTAAGAGGCCTTGAACTTTTAAGCAAGTTCCATGTTGGCAGGTCTTACACCTACCCTGATATCACTACACAGCAACGTCTATTTCATGCACGCGTGCACGCTCAAGCCTTAACCATTGCTGCAATTCTACTTACTGGTGAAATTATTACACAAGTTTGTGCGTGCGTTAGTGAAGCGTGAGGGTTAAATTGAGGGATTATTTAAATTTAGTACCTCAAAACTCTTGTGTTTCGGTTTAATATATAGATATCGTTTATGTTCCTTTTACGTATTAGGTATTCTGGTAAATGTTGCACCGCCTTCTAAGAAAGAAGACCTCAACGATGAAATGTTTTTGCGAAGAATTGCTTACGAAGATAAAGATGTGTGATGAATTATAAAACCCTGCATTTTTTACTTATACATCTTGTGAGCATAATTATTGATGACAAAACTATCTTCTATTAAAAGGAAAGTTTTCTTAGGGTAAGTAGCCATCATTTTTATAGTAACATTAAAAAAAAAATTTATAAAAGAGGCAGAGAAGTTTTTATCGCCTCTGTTATAGTTAATAAAGTTTAGACAACCAGGGAAGCACGGAAAGCAATTAGCTGGTAAAATTGCTATATGCCTGGTAAGCAAGGAAAAGGTAAAAGTTGCTCACTCTTGGCCTTTCAAACAATGTATTATGCTTTCGATGAGGAAAAACATATTTACAAGAATAAACCCGGTAAAACTGACATAAAAAGTTTTTTCTCTCTTGTTTTCTTCATGAAAATACTTTTAAAAATTCCGAAAAAAATTTTTCTGACTCTTACGAAAAACTCTAAGGGTACTATTTATATGAGCTAGTATATCAAATAACGGGTATCCTGCCTTGGCAAAGTAGCGCAGGCTGTGATACCTGCAAGGTTAGAAAACTTAGCGAAAAAAAAAGAAAAGAAAAGAACATTTTTCCGGAGTGTCAATTAAAACATTCCACTTCTCAAAAGATTTTTAAGGCTTTCAGAAAGTGTTACTATAGCCTTTAACGATCGAAAATATACCGCAATAGTATTTTTAGAAGTTGAGAAAGTCCTCGAAAAAGTTTTGGCACAGAGAACTTGTTTATAAGACGACCAGGTTTAACTTTCCTAGGTCCTTAGCCCAGATGACAAAAAATTATTATTACACAGACAATTCACAGTCCATATAGGGACGATTAATTCAAATCTAGAAGATTTTAAACGTTGGTGCCCCTCAAGGATCACTTTTATCGCCTCTTACATTCGCGCTTATATGAAGGAAACCTCCCCGCACAACTACTGTATCACTAGCCCAATATGCGGCCGACACAGCTATATTCTGCGGTTTTAAATCGACGGCACTGGCCATTAACACTTACAACTTTATTTGTATACTGGTTTACTGATTGGAAGATAACGATCAATGCTACTAAGAGTGCATTAATAATAACTTCAAGAAGAAGAGTTAATATTTCAAAAGCGCCCCACTCCACATATTTAAAACTGCTATTTCCGTGGAGCTCTGGTGTTAAGCATTTAGGGGTTATTAAAGATCATAAATTTACCTGAAACACTCATACTGAGTATGTCCTGAGAAAAATGAATGCTGTCAAGAAAATTATATACCGTTAGTATGAAGGCGCAGCAAACCCTACCTTAAAGACAAGCTACTTTTATATAAACACATTCTCCTCCCAATTACGGTGTATGCTTTCATTTGTCGGTCTTACTCTGGGTATTATATAAATAGGCTGCATTAGAATAATCACTAAAGCTCCATGGTTCATATATAATGCTTAATTACATCGCGACCGCCAAATGAAAGCAATCAAGACTTTGTTTTTACAAATTGCGACTAAATGCTATATAAATAGAGTGAACATACCAAGAGTTTATTAACAACTGCTATTAATTATAACCCAGACCAGTACAACGGCCTCGATTTACCGCCCTAATTTTTGTCGTTTACTCATTTATAATTTAATTTACACTTTATTATTATTATTATTATTTAATAATATATAATACATATATAAAAGTGACAGAACAGATATAATATATTATTTTAATATGCTTAACCCGACTTAAGAATTACTATAATTCTATTAATATATATAAGAACAAACAGCAAAAAGCAGCGTATTATAGTATATTTATATGTATCATCACTTAAATTGTTTTTTTATTATTATTATTTACTAATCCTATTTACATATTTTATCCTAATTATTCTTGATAATAAAGACGGTTTTTTCTTTCTTTCTTTTTGTCAATTGCCCACGGACTGGTACACAAACATTGAAGATGAAAACTCTTCGAAGGACTAGATCCTTCTTTACCTTTCTTATAGTTCAAGAGGGAAATAAGGATTAAGCAGCAAAGTTCTGCTATGAATATGGACGGCAGGATGTCAATAAAAAAAAAAAAAGAAAAATAAAGGGTTAGAGGGAATAGAGCATAATAGGAAGAGAAAGGCGATCGCCGCGAGATGACGTGGTTCAACCATAAAATCAAGTCAACAGGTAAACAAATAAAAAAATCTTATCGTCAACCGTAGATAACAGTTGTTGTCCTATGTAAGCCATTATACAAAATATCTTTATATACACTGAGTAAAAGAGTTATTAGTTGATTTAATAAAAAAACAAAAGACCAGAAAAGCTATCTCTTTAAAACTTAGTGCCTACGGTCCCTGCCTAAGGTAGAATGTAGACCGTATTTTAATTCTATTATACTTATTATATTAGTCCCCATCCTACTCACCTAGAAATTAATAAGGCAGATTTAAAATAACCACAGTCTACAAATAAATAATACTCGTTCTTTTGAAAGCAACCGGCTGGCTTGTAGAAAGAATGGTTAAAAAAATAAAACTATTTTTACAAAGAAATTCAATTTTTAATAGAAACATTCGCCTGTCCGGGGTCTAAGCATTAAATTTATGTAATTTTTTATTAATGCCTTTTTTAATGCGCGCACTAGGAAAACAATGATCCGGAGTGGACGCATATGTAACGCATCGCTTCATGAATCGCGGATGAGTGGCCTCATCTGTAAGCCTCGATGTAAAGCGTTGTTTTCGGCTAAACTACGGCGTCCCCGTCATAATAACGACGCTTTGATTGTGGTAATTAAGCAAAACTTTATGGTTGGCGAGTCGTAAACTCAAACCAAAGAGTCGACCTTCATGGCTTAACAACGAGAATTTTAAGCATATTCCGACATCTTGTTTTTGATGATGATTTTTACTTTAAAAGTACTTTTGCTTAAATCTAACGAATTAATAGCTAAAAAATTAAAATTTGTTCTTATAGGCTTCTTTAGTCCAAATCTAAATTTTTATAACACCCTCCGCCTTTGTAACTAATTACTTAAGCGGTCTCCTTACTATTAACCGATTTTAACGTTTTAAGATAAGTAGTTCATAAGTTAATTGAAAATATTTATTACAGCAATAGGAGTAAAATAATAAGGCGTACTTATCAAATATTTTTGTTTACTAACCCGTGAGTTTTTCCTTTACAAAAAGTTTAATTATATTATTCATCTATATTGTATTTTAACGAAATTTAGCTACTTTTTTTTAAAAAAAAAAGATAATTTCGCTAAATAAAAATTAATTGGTTTATTTAAAATTAATACCTAGTAATTAATAAGCTCCCGAAGTTTTCCACTGTGATATGCAGCAAAAGTGTCGTCACAACCCCCTATGAGCTAATTTTATAAAATTTTTATTAATTGTATTGAAAACTACTCAAATGCATTAAATTATAGTAAATCACTTTTTATATAAATAAAAATCGTAGGTAAGAAGGTATTTAAGAAACAATTAAGATAAATAAATAGTTAGAACCTTCTTATTTATAAATACATAGGGAACAGTTCGCTGAGAAGTCAAGGCGTAAAGTTCATCTTTAATCTAATAAGATATATAAATTGTAAAACGTAACTTATTTATAAAGCTCAGAAATAAATTAAGTAGAAAACATATCATTCTACTTACACTGTCGCCAGTTTCCAGCTGATCAAGTTCCATAGAAACAAAGTCTACATTGAGTTTTTTAAAAAGATCCTTAACTTTAGTGCAATATCTGCTAATAGTGCTTAGTGAATACAAAGCCACCGTAGTGTCAAAAGAGCTGACTTATGTTTATTACAGCACTTATTTTTCTCTTCGAAAAGTACTAACTATCCAAGCTACCAATAATATTAAATACACTTTTTTTTTCGCCTTAGAGGAACTCGATGAATCAAGTGGTTTTTTTAAGACGTTAGTCAATACTAAAATATGCAGCTGTAATTATAAACTTGAAATAAAATATAAGTTTCCAAGCAAATTAAAGTACAGTATTTTTTGTGTACAAACATACAATCTTCTAAATTAGATATTTAGTGAATAACTTACTAATAAATAAAGACATTACAAAGTTCAAGTTCATTTTGGCGGAGAATATAAACTTTTAACAAGCAAAATGCTTAAAGAAAACGTTGGAAAATTGTATCATGCGATAAACTTACGGACAATAAGTTTTCGAAAATATTGCAACCAGCTTCTGCTCCAAAATTTTGTTTATAATTTCCACAGATCGCGACATTTAGATCTTCACAGCAAGGTTTATACTCAGTATAAGTTTATTATAAATTAAAATATCCACTGCGTTTGCCTATATATAATATAAATTTTAGATTGGCAATTGTAAACCTATTCTAATAATATTAATTCAGAGAACTTAAAGTATAACTTTGTGATTGCAAAAGGTGTGTAACAGAAGCGAAAAGAAAGGTTCTCAAAAAAAGAAGCAGCTTCTTCGTTATAGCCATTGTCCAGGACGCTAAAGTATACCTCACACATTTGTGTATCTTTTTCGTTTAACCTTATATGGGAATGGAATGACAAAGCATTTTTCTTACTGTATAGCCTTTTGCATACATTTTTTAGCACAATAATTACACCTCTTGCCGATTGTTTTATCATAAATATTCAAACCCAAATTAAGAAATTAACTATTTTAAAGCTAACCTTTCTATAAGCAGCTAAAATTTAAATCTTTTATACCTTAGTATATGTACTAATGAAATTACTAGAAACAGTTTGGAACCTAGACCAGAAATTTAGTATATATATGATGTTTAAAACTTTAAAAAGAACTAACTTAAGAAAAAACCAAAATTTCAATGTTAAATGTAGAATTAAAAGCGTCTATCATATGTTTTGTGCGAAGTACGTTCTAAATTAATGACCATTGTAAAGTAGAAAAGAGTAACAAAATTATAGTAGTTATAACTGGCATAAAAGGGAAAACTGTAATTGTTGCATATGGTAAATGTGCGTGGAACCCATATCAACCTATAAAAAGTACCTTTTCTTTGACTTTTGCAGACTCGGTAGATCGAGCGCAAAGCAACTTAGTCTTTTTGGGTGCGAATGGATGCCTGCACATCTTTTGAAGGAGTATTACTTCCTGAAGAGCAAAAGATGGCGGAAACGAGAGGTGCTCTTGAGTGCTAGACATTAGGCCTCCTAGAAGCACCAAGCAGCCTTGCTCGTAAAATACCACTTACCATTAAACTTTACCCAAACTAAATCAGGCGCGTAAGGAAAGCTACCTTAAACATTCTTAACTGCGAAAAGCGCTAAGTATACTTTAAAATATAAAAGCCTATTCACACTTGGGTATATGTCTGTTACTTAAGGTCACTTTAACGTAGCTAACACTGGGGGCAATAAATTTAATTGTAAACCAGAGTTCAATAATTTTTTATGTTTAATAAGCAAAGAAAAAAAAATTTTTTTTGTTTTATTCTCTATAAAAAATTGTTATCAACTATCTAGTATCAATAATTTATAAATGCGATTTCGTAGTCAATCTTTTAATGAGGTAGAAGTAGCGTAAATTAATTTAAAAAAATGCACATATTAATCTGGGTTTTTTTTAACATGCACACCAGCAAAAAATGTTAGCGCATTTGCAACCGTAGATCCATCTTGATACATCTTGAACTGCAAAAGTAGGTGCTTAATTTTTTTGGTGAGAAAGTGTACCAAATAACAATATTGTACTAATTTCTTATTTAAAATTACTTATGCACCTAAAGGCTATGTAAAATATGAATTTTTTAGAATTTTTTGCCGCTGTAAGAGTTGTGAAGAATAACACAGAAGCTTCTGAGTACAAGATAAAACAAGGGTGATTTTTCTTCGAAAAAGCTTTTGATAGAGTCTGGCATAAAAAAGTTTAATTTTAAAGATTGTTTTCATGCAAGTTGCCAGAATATCTACGCGCGTTGTTAGCATATCTTTACTATAGATCATTTATTGTAAGACAAGAGAAGAATTGTCCGCCCCCAGGCTCCTTAAAACTGGAGCCCCTAAGGGTTTCTTTGTTACCTTTATACTTTTCTTATATACGGGCGATTCCCTCCCTTGCCAACATAGTTTCCATATAGCTCTAATAACTAATACACTGAAATTTAAAATTAATTGCATTCGCTACCAGATATGCAGGCCCAACTTTATAACCTTGATAAATTGTTTGCTGAACGAAAAATTCTTCCAGAGGCCATGCGATGATCTTTTCAAGAAAATAAAGAAAAGAACAATTAAAGCTTAAACACGCTATCGTAAACGCCCATTTCGGGTGCACCAGGGAAGTGTTGTTATTAACTCCAGACGTAATGAGGAGGCCTCACTTACATATAATATTATAGAAATTATGAATTTAACTTAACATCTTATGTATAAAGCTATTATCGACCTTAATATGAGTCACGCATTTGTCTTATGATTCTATTGCTCGGCATCGAATATTAACAAGCATCAGAATCCTTAAAGCGACCTCAGAATGTTTACAAGCGCATCTTGATTAGTGAAAAATTCTAACTACGAGAGCGGGAGCCAAACCTCTTTAGCTTCACCTTAAACGAACGGCTATGAAATGTTTTGCTGAAATACAAAAGATATTCTAACAGTTCAACAACTAAAGCATTTAGCTACTCCCCTGCATTTTTTTTAAACATATAAACACCTAAATTTTTTTTGAATATACTCAAGAAAAGAGAGCACAAGAAAGGCTTAAAAAAAACTACTGTACTATATAATTATTTTATATACGACAACAAAAGAAAAGAATGTTAATTGCTTAAAGATTTAAAAACATCGCTCTCTTCTTATTATGTAGATGAATTGGTGGCTTTAAATTTTATAAAGGTTACCCTTCTTATCCTCTTCTAATAAAGGAATTAAATTAAGCAGTTTAATTTATAGCCGATATAATTGTAGTATGTCAGATCGATTAGTCCATAATTATACAATAGTACTTGGCTTAAGTACTATTCACACCATTTTGTGTTTAATACATAAATTATAGTCCGCTCTATGCAGCTGAATTTTCAGCTTGCAATACATTTAGGTTTTTAAACTTTTTTACAGTAGAGCAGATCCCATCCCTCCCACTGATGGTCGCTTTATATTTTTTTTTATGTTGGGTGTAATTTAAGTTTATTTACAGAATTTTTTTTTTTTGGTAACTACTTTAATAAAGGTATATCTTCTTCACACTGATAAAAATTTTCAGATTCGGAGCTATCACTTTTACTGTCCTCTTGGCCACTTAGATTTTCACTCATATTATCCGGGTCAAAGCGACTTAATCCGTTTGCGCTATGGACTCGCTTAATATCATTGCTATTATAACCATTTACGCCTTTGCACTCTTTTTCTGGAGCGTCAACGGATTTTCTTTTAATCCTCGCCAAGTTCAACAGACCAAAAGAATTTTCCGATCTGGCAACCTGGACCTTTTCGTTACTTTAAGCTAAAAACTGGTGAAGGGTGGTAACATGGCGCGAGTACTTTTTTCTGAATATCTACGTAGACATCCGTTTCGTCAAGAATCTCTTCGTTTATTAATTCTTCCAGAACGTCCTCGAGTGTAATGATTCCCACAGTTCTGTTTGTTTGGGGTTCCAGCACGATAGCCATGTGGCCTGCAGTTATTGCAAAAGAAGAGGAAATTGTTAACGAAATTATAACAACATTTTTGCTACATTTCTCTTTACTGCGGAAATAAGCAAGCAGTTATTACATAAGTTCAGAATGCTACCAACTTTTTCCCTCCTGAAACTTATTTAGCAGATCATACAAGCCCATCTCCTGGCTGATGTAAAGAAGCGTATCTAAACATTAAGTTAAAACTGAATCTCCAATCCTCAAGAATAGCTTCTAAGTTGATTGGCACCTTTCATGAGCTGCGCCACGGTACAGTTTGGAGGGAAGAAAGCCCCCATCTTCTCGGACACCAGCGGATTCATGAATATGAGGGACTTTGCGTAGAGTACTCCAATCACCACGTTATCGGTGGAATCCAGTATGGGTATGCGGCTGTGACCCACACTAATAATCTTTAAGTGGAAATGAGCCACGTTTTTGGGGGTTCAAACTATAAAAGTTACTTCTCTTATTAAATCGCTGGTTATGATGGTGTTGGAGTGAAGGTAAAACACGTGCTCCATTTTTATAAAGCAGCTTTTGACCTGTTACCAAAGTAGAAACGAGTTGACCCCGCCGCAGGTTTGATAGTACCAACCTTCTTACTAGCCATGTCTAACACGCCGCGGATGATGGTTATCTCGTCTGGACTTAGCATGTCGCCAACGTTGGCGTGCCCGTGTAGATTCACTAGTTCTTTTAATTCTGAGGTTGACTTTGTAAAAAAAAGTTGAATTACAAGTGAACGAAAGTAAGACCAGCTCTTCTAAAGTAACTGCCCTTCTCCTTTCCGAGTAAAAAATCCAATAGTTTACCTATTGTCCATGATAAGGGCGCCGTGACGGCCATGAGAAACTTAACAAATCTGGTAATAAGGTAACTCGTAAGTTTCTATCGGGATCTACCAGATCAATTGCAATTAGCTAGTGACAAAGTTTACGTGTCAAGCTATGACCTACTAGAATCTTGTATACAGTAGCAATATTATAAAATCAAGTATTACTACTGAAACTTATTGGTTGTTTACATTATCTTAATGAATTGAATTGCTATTAAATGAGGCCGTGAGATTTAAATTTTAGAAAATATTAAATATAAAAATATACTTACATACGGTGAAAGATAGTAACCAATTGCGAGCCCGTATTTCGAGCAAATTGCTTGAGGGGCTATCCTGTAAAGTACTAACGGTTAGTAGTGAACTATTTATAAAAAAATCATAGCAGTACTCGCCAAAGAAGAGCACGGCAGTGGCAGAAAATATAACTGCAAGATACTCAGGAACAAGTTTGTCTAAGTAAAAAAGTACATTTTTTCATATCAGCATATAATGTGTTATAAGTTGTTAAGCTACCCATATTCTATTTTATAAGATTAATGATAAACACATAATAAAAACGCCATGTTAGCATACTGATATAAGAGAAGCAAAGTCTGCTTACTTAAAAACAGTGGTAGCGCCTCCATGGAAGCGGCATTGCAAATCAGTAAGGTAACCAGCAGAAAATGTTTCCGTTTCACTAAAGGTAATATCCCTGATGCGAACACAATTCTTAGCTTAAAGAGTTAAGCTCACTTCTAATATTAGTTTCAACCTGTGGCGTACTTTTGTTGACGAGGAAGACCACCGTTTTTCAAAACATTTAAAAAAGTTTCGTCGAAAGAGAGAAGGCCTTAGAGTATAAAGAAAATTTAAAAGGAATAAAAAAGTTATGTGGTTGGTGAAAACCATGAACACAAACCTATTGTCAGACCTGACATCAACCCAGCGAAAAGAATAAGCAACACACAAACGGCAAGATGGAGATAAAAAGTTTTCCTATAGTAAAGCTTGGGAAAGATTTGCCGAGTTAATTAAAATAAATAAATTTCACTCGTGTGGATCATCCAAGGTAGGTAGCTCAGCGTAGTATCTTTCACGGTGTAACATTACTTAAGAAACCCATAGAATAGTCAACAACTGGATGACAAAAAAACTCAGTATTAAGGCAATAATTAATTTAAACTTCGCGTTACAAATCCTAACCCCTTACTAAAAGAGGGCCAATTTTAAGTTTATGAACGCTTGCTAATAACGATTGGAGCCATATTAAGACTATCACATAATATCGATTAAATTTTGTGCATCTCATATGTTTAATATTAATAATAGTTTAATACTAAACATTTATACTAATTACAATAATTATAAAATAGAATAATAATAATTTTTATAGTATAAAATAGTAATTATCAGCAATATAATAATATTAAGAAAATAGTGAGTAATATAACATATATGTAAATCAATTATATATTTCTACCCCGGCACCCCTCTCAGTGGAAAATAGATTATGTTGTATTAGCCCTTAGCCTCTAGATCTGTTTAAAAAAAAAACATTTAGTAATAAGTAAAAATAAGTAGCCCGGTTTTATTTATAATTATATATTTATAATTTATTAACTAAACGGAACCTATCATAATAAGTTACGTTTTGTAACTATATCAGCTTTGAGGTCATCCGTTCTTCAGATTTTAGGCCCTCTGTGTTCGTGTCAAAGTATTTTATTATTCCTTTAAAGGGGTTGATATCATTTTATTAATGTTTTTAACCGTTCTATACTATAATCAATATTAGTCATGGCTCTTCGTAAGATTATTACTTATTCTTTACTTCTCGTCTCTTACATTATATTTTAAAAACCACTTTACTGATCAACAAAAGTTATAAACAATCATAGTTTATTAGTTTATAGTTATTCAACTAACTGGGATTACGCTACTATTTTAAAGCGTAATTTAATAATATTTCTTCATAGACCCTTCCCCCCTTAGTTTTATTTTTTTAATTTGTAATTTTATTCTATGCCTTAATATTGATATGTTTTTTTAGCTAACATTGCTAGAAAGCCCTGATGAGCTCTTATTTATAAGGAGTATAAAGTTATTATTTAGTAATTTTTTGTAATAGTTTAACTTTACTTTTGGTCATTTTCACAAATCCTACTGTGTGTCGGCCTATAGTAAAGAGCCTTAAAGCTTCGGTGAGTCTGCTAATTATTATACCTATTCATTTCTTTTTAATCATTTGCGCAACTACTTAAAATCTGAAATCATAGAATATTATTACTGTTTTTTTATGATTGCGTCGCTTTCTATCGCTATTAATCTTCTGTTAAAAGCTATGTTTATTAATTCAAAGAATTTAAAAGTTCTCTAGGTCCTTAAGATAGTGCACATGACAAGTTGCGAAAATAGTATGACCCTTTAATGCCTTTCTATATAAAACTTTCCATTAAAGAAAAGAGCCTTAAGCGGTTCTTTATAGCTAATAATCACTTAAGGAGTATCTTTGTTAACTGGTAGTAATTGTAGGCCAAGGCATTATGTGTAGCGAAGAATGAGGTATTTGATACCTTCATCGATTACATGACTTTAGTGCAAGTGGAGTCCATTTGTTGAACTTCTAGTAGCATACCCAACTTAAACCCTTATTTTGTAAGCATCTCTAATAAATTTATGCTTCTATTAAATTGATATAAAAAGTCTTATAAATAAGCCTGATTGCAAACAAAAAAGGGATATTGAGAGTAAAATATACTCTTCATTTTTTAAATTTAAGTGCTCTTTAGGCATGCGGTGCTGATCATAAATGTTTCAATTCCCTTTACATGATCGTCAAGATGAAAATACCAAGACTGGAGCGGACAATGACCTACGAAGGTTAGGCAAAGGGGTATCAAGTTCTCATTGGCTTTTTTGTATTAAAGAATTGTGCAGATGCTCGGTAATATCGAGCGCAGACTGCTTAATTTTGCAAATAATTTTATATTATTAGGTTAGATCATATTCAGTTTTGGCAGGTTATTCCTCAATAAACTTTTTTTTTTCTGTGTAAAGGTATAACAAAACTGTAATTGTGCGCTCAAAGTGCGCCGTGGGGCCTCCGAAAACGTAAGCTTTTCCAGGGTTCGTAAGTAAGTTCTTGAATCCAATGGGGGCTTGGATGCCTAATAACACGTTTAAAAGAAACTGAAGTTGTATTTCGGAAAAAGACTTACAGTCGTTTCCAAACCCCGGTCGTCATGTTACGTATATTTTCGCACGAAATATGGTGCGCCGACCACAGGAGCTTGTTTTACTGCGTTTGGAAGGGTGCAAATCGTCGATGGTTTATCATATTCCTAGCAGAGTAGATGTGTTGGTCATAGTAGGGCGCACGCATACTTTATTAAGGTGAAGTTTATGGCACGGGGACAATGTACTTTTAGCATAGCAGGGATAGAGTGCGTGAATTGCTGCTTTGAATAACGAACTCTGCGTGTTGCCTCCAAGTTAGTCGCTTGTCGATGACAACGACCAAGTATTTAGGCTGAGAGCCCCACGAGGTTTTAACACCCTGAAGGTTAGTAGCGGGGGGAGCGCGATGCATCTTGAGAATGAGGAATGCTTTGCTCTTCGTTTCAATAATAGTTACACACCACTGCCGCCACCAGTTGGCGAATGTTCCCAAATAACGCATCAATGTTGTCCCAATAATAAGAGACGTTTTGAGGATGCGTAAACTGCAATGTTATCAGCACAGAGTGCAATGCGGTTGTGAGAGTTCGCCGGGAATGGAATATTTCGCATGTATAGCGCGGAGAATAGGGGCTCCAGCTGTCAGCCGACGATATGGCGACGACGCAGCCCCTACTCTCACTCGAAAGGTGTGCCGCGTAGAAACGTACGCAAGTTAATTACTTTAGGTTCGAAAGGTTCTTTGCGCCAAGATTTTTTTTTATTTTCCATTAAGTTTTGCCTTGAGGAATTCTATTTTTTTTTTCAAAGCCGCGTTGGCGGCCAACAAGTTGTTAAATAGATCTTCTTGTTCAATATTTGTGGAAGAACCATTATAACCATTTAAAAAGAAATTAATATAGATATATAAGGTACCGTTATAAAAAAAATAAGTATAAATTTAAGTATATATATAGGAAGGTGCAGGTAAACATAACTAATAAGTTAGGTAGGCGTTAAGAAAAAATGGAATAATAAATATTCTTTTATTTATAATGTTGACATACCACGCCAGGTCAAGATTAGAAGAGACCTAAAATACTGCCTAATCTGATTTACAAGTTAGAAAAGAAGTACCCTACGCCCAGTACGCCGTTAAAACGGTGAGGTGTCGTGGTCTCCAAGAGTGTGGGCAACCGCGTCACAGACTATATCTCGAACAAAAAAGATAAATCGTTGGGATGATATAAATATTCATAATAGCTCTCCACATTGATGCGACAGAAATATTCGGAGCGTTTCCAACTTCAAGGCACGATGCAAGTGAGGACCCCGGACAAACCGGGGGCACCTGTAATTATTCGCAACAGTCAATTTTGAAAACCGCTTGAAGTCGCTTTATGTGCGGTTGACTGCTGCCATACGATCACCACGGCTACGTAAGTTAGAGGGCCGAATAATTTGCAGATAAAGCTTAAGTTTGTTGCGTACTGGGAAAGAACTCTTTTTACCCTAAAGGAATAAAGTTCGTAAATTGTTAACTTTGCTTTATTAGTGATGTAGTCAACGTGATAGCGCCAAGGGGATTGCTTGTCTATGCAAATATCCAGTACTGGACTTTCATGTGCCAGGAGACGGCTTGGTCGCAAAGCGTTATAATAGATGCTGTCGTTTTAAGCCCCCTCTTCGATACAAATATAGCTTTGCTTTTAAGGGTAATTCGCCACTTATCAAATCATACCTTAAGTGCGGTAACACACGTTTGCAAGTGTTTTAAAGCTAGAGAAGGAGATTTGGAGCAGGCATAGAAAGCCGTATTGTCCGCAAACTGTGACAAAAAGTGGAGGTATTCTCAGGCCTGAGTGTGTTCGCCATGTATAAAGCAAATATGGAAGATAGCAGCTAGCCTTGGGAGCCTCTATAGCCAGTTCGCTTATAGATGAGCTAGCTTTTCCCACTATGACATAAAACGTCCTTTGGTTCAGAAAAGACTGGAGAGGCGAAAGAAGATAATTTGGTACCTTCAGGATAGGTAGTGTCATAAAAAGAACACCATCGTGCCATACCCTGTCGATTGCTTTTCCGACATCTAGAAATAAAGTACATGTAGGCTTATTGATATTAAACCCTTTAGTGACATTTTCGGAGAAACGCAAAAAACTGCTGAGTAGTAGAGTGACCCCTTTGGAATCCAATCCGAGACTCTGGTATACAACCAGAACTCTCCACAAACTATTGCAATCGTACAAGTATTACAGCTTCAGCTACTTTGCCAATACGTGACAAAAGACTTAAAGAACGGTGGTCTTTAATTTAGGAATGCATAAGATTTCTGCCTTTTCTATCGTTCAGGGAATGTACATGACTCAAGAGAATTGTTAATATGTGAAACTAAGACTGTTATTGCTGTCACGGGCAAGTGTTTAAGAATCGTGGTTACGCTCTCTGGACCTGACGCTTTTTTAGTACGCAGAAGGTTTATAATTGCTCACTTCTTTCCTATCGGTATATTCGCAAGTTATATTTCGAGGATTGCTACTGCGAGTAGCCCTATTTTCAATTTCAGAAGCTACTTTTTTTGTGATTAGGCAGTGACTAAATAAACTTCGCACGCACACCTCCGCCTTAACTTTGTCGCCATAAGTATAATTGGTCTCTGTTTTAAGGGCCGAAGAATGAGGTTTCTTGCGATTTCTTATGGATTAGACAAAAAACCGCCAGCAGGATGTAGGGTTCTCGGAATTTCAAGCTCGGCAAATTTGATTCACAAGTTTTACTGAGCAAATTAATGAAGCAATTTTTACTTTTTTGTTAAGTTTGTCAAGAATTCGTTTATCTTTAGGATTTTTAGAGGCTACGTATTTACGTTTTCGCCGCCTTCTTAAGTTGAGAAATATTCTATTTCCTCAGGTAAGCGTGCTTTACGCGGAGGGATCGTTACTGCAACAGAAACCGTTATATGTGCTTGATTAATTTTAGTCTCATAAGGGGTACCAAATTTCTTAGGTTAACCTGAGGGACCAAAGTAATTGGATTGCCCTTAATGGCTTCCGTAATCACTTCTTTAAATTTATTCCAGTCCGTATCTCCGTGTGTAATTCAAAGGGCTAAACTCTTATAGGCCAATTTCGTAAAGCACGGGGGAGTGGTCCGAGGAGAGGTCCACTAGCATGGTTATGTTTGAGTCAATTCGGATGTTCTTTGGTATGACAACGTCAAGTACATCTGAGGCTCCTTTTATAGAGAAGGTAACCCCTTTTTTCAACGTAGTTGTATAGTTTAAGTTCCGTTAGTATTTCTCACTTTACTCTTCCAAGGAGCTTTGCTCTTCAAATCCCCGCCAAGAATTACAGATTCGCGACGGTTAAAAATACTAAACAGTTCTTTAGGAAACAAAGGCAGCCCGGGGGACTTATATGCAAAAACGATTACCACGTCCCCCTTAACCATGAAGATTGTTCTTGATGGCCACTGTTTCAAACAAATTAATTTTAAATTGACAAGAAGGTATAAACGGGTGAGCTATCTGCTATTAATAATAATGGCTACTCCCCCTTTTCTTGAGTAGGTCCTGCCATGCCGGTAAAGCCCTTAATTGGAAAAATTTTATGTCCGAGTTTTAAATGGGTCTCACTTATTAAAGCAATATCAATTTTCTGATTAAGAAATTGTTGAAATTCTTCTCTTTTGCGCAAAAGACTGTTCGCGTTTTAAAATAATATGCGACCATATTTAAACTAACAATGGGAGTTAGTATAAAGACTAAGAAGATCGTTACCATTCTTGCCAATGTTGAATTGGTCGTTCATATGTTATTTAAATTATGCTTATAATCTTTTAACTTGTCCTTCATGTTAGTGGCGAATGCGTAGCTCTTCTTGTTGACTAGTCGAATTATTTTCTGAAAAGTTTTTCTTTATTTTGAGAATTCTTGGAAGTGATGCAATTAATTGTCTGGGAGTACGGCTCCGTTGTAAGAGTTGTTAAAGACAAATGTTTGCGCATGTGAAATTTTCTTGGGTGATAAGGGCAACCTCGATAGTTAGCGGTGTACTTGCCTTGACAGTTTGCGCATTTCGGAGGGGCATCTAGTGTCTTCGTGCGGCTGGCGGTTTCATGGTTGCATCCACATTTGACGAACCTAAACGCAGAGGTACAGAAGATAGAATTGCGGTCAAGAGTTGAGAGTGGTGGCACTGGCCAATTACGTTTGAATCCTTGAGTCCTTCAACCGTAATTGTAAGATGACAAACTGAAGTTAATTTGTATACCGAGATCTCGGATTTTGATAGATGTTCAAGAACTAAAGGAAGAGCTTTTCGTTCTTTCCGATAACTTTTTATACGAACAACCCTTTAGTGGGCAAAAACCTGGAATGCGGAAATCTTTCTCAGCAGCGCTACAGTCAAGTTTTGAAAAAAATTCTCTCAGTACCACTTTCAAAAGCCTATCCTCAGGAAGTCGATAACCGTAAAACACGTAATTACTTTCTTATAATATTTTGTGCCCAGTCGAAAATTATTAGAGGAGGATATCATGCATATTTTTAGATGAAAAATTGGTCACATTTCTATCATGCAATAGGGAAGCCACATCTGGCCACCGTTGTTTCTCACGAATAATTAAAGGTGCAATATTTTCTGTCTCCAAAAAGTTTTTCGCAGTTGATACGTTGAGTTTTCTCTTCTGTGGGTGTTGTCGACTGAAAACTTATTGTTTTGTGAATTTTGAGTAGTTAAATCACTCAATCAAGGCGGAAATTCGTTTATATCAGCGCTTTTAATTTGTAAAGGTAGACCAGATAAGGAATTTAAGCAGGCAATAGGTAAAGGTTCAGTTTTGCAAGAGATTAACATAGCCTTACGCTCGTTTTACGAACATCTTTAAAGTGAACAGAATCTAATTCGTTCATTTCGTTCATTCTGTTCAGCGCTATTTTTAAAACTTTTTTAAGTTTTTCATTTAAAGCTAATACCTCAGTGATGGTAGGCCGCGAAATCTTTACTAGAAGAAACAAGAGGCATGTTAAGCATATATATAAGTAAATAAAATAATATAGTAAATATTAAAATATAAGTTAGATAAGCAAGATAGATATATATAATAGTAGTTTAGACTTAGTTTATATATTAAAATAGAGTAGGCGAATTAAAGTTTTTGTTGCAGTAATAAATATATAAATAAGATATTTATAGCAAATTTATAGTCAAAGGTAGAGGTGCACAGACCAATCCAAAAACGGCAAGAGTCTGCGCTAGCCAATTTCCTCGGTGTTTTGGAAATGCTCTCGTTGGTTTGCAATTGTTAAATAGTACTCATGAGCTGCATCCGGTGGAACTGGACGTACAGCCATAAGCTTTACGCGTCATTGCTTTTAACCCCCTTATGCGTTACTGGTTATTATGTTTACCACTTATCAACTAGGTTTCAGTTTGCAAGAGTAGAGCTATGGAAATCGACCCTAAACAACAGACTCCGACTCTGAAACAGTCTCTGGTTAAGTTTGAGTACCCTGTGCTAACGCATTAGACAGCAACCGATAAAACATAAAAAAGTGGTGAATTTAGTTACCAGTGAACGTTAAGTTGAGAACTAATGATCTTTTTTATTGGGCAAAAAGGTGTCCTGAATGTAAGAGGTTTATATTTTTGGTTAGATGGATAAGTAAGCATTTGTTTTACGGTTTTATGATGAGATATTAATTGGGATATGTAAAATTTGATTAAATAATCCATTTATTTGAAATTTGGCAAAACTAAGGTTAAGACACACATTTTTGCATGCCTCAAGTTTTGATTAGAACCTGTATCGTAGACATAAGAAATCGAGCTTTATTTTGTTTTTTCTTTGTTTTGAAAAAGAATATATATACCTATATTTTTAAAAAAAAATAAATGTGTTATTTTTTGCGATTGTATGTTTTATTTATAGAATACAAATTAAGACTTAAATGATATTATATGCACAACAATAAGTGTGGCACATATTCTTACCAGTAAACATTACAGGTGCACCATCAGCTGGTAACCATTCTTTTTCAAAAAGATAGAATCAAATTTTAAAAACAAATATTGTACTTAAAAGTATAGTGTCAACATAGGAAATGATATCGCAGAAAAAAAACATCTATTTTTTGAGCCCGAGTTTTGCCCGTTATAGGGTTAAGCAATAAATCAAGACTACTTCAGGATAATATAAATTATAAATCTTTTTTACTCAGTTAAATTTTAAGGTGACATGCTAGTACTTTTCTTGCTAGCTGGTTTTTCATTACAGTTCTGACATAAACTTTACTTTTTGAAGTGGCAAGTGACAATGCCTCAGAAAAAAAGGACCACACAGTGGAAGTGAAGTTAAAATGATTGTGGGAGTGGCCATAATTTTTCGTGCTGCCTTACTTTAGCCAAACGGTATATTGCTTATATGGAGAAATTAGCAACTTTATGGTAAAATTTTTTGTAGGCCACTAAATTCTATACTGGAATTGATAGAATTATATATTAATATATTTATGCTTAAACTTAAAACACCAATAATTAATTGCCTTTGAAGATTTAACTAGCCAAAAGGCTGTGCATAAAAAGCCAAAGGGGGTTATGGTTTCATATTATATACTACTATATACCTACTCAGTAAAGATACAGAGCGGTTGCCGTTTTATTCTTTTAAGGCTCTCAGGGATCACTTTACACCTAGCGTACTAATCCGCACGGGTTGTCTAATTTTAAGATTAGAAGGCAAAACTAATGTTTAGACGTTCATTATCACACAACTATAAATTAACTTATATACTTATTAGTATAAATTACAATGAAAAAGTGCAACCTAGTACAAAGCCTTCTTATGCCTTTTCCCTTCATAATAAACTAAAAAAACAAGGACACGGCAGCCGCTTTTTCTAATTACCTTTGAGAGCGATTAAAATTTTCTCAAAGGAGACTAAGGCTAACTTGCTTAACAACTCAGGTGTTAAGATTTAAATAGAAGTACGAAGGCACTTTATAAAGTTTACGGGCTTTATCTTAAGTAGCTGTTTGTTTAGTTGTAAAAATATGTTAGTTAATAGAATGGCAGTTAACTACAAATGTATGATGTGTGCGTTAATTTTTTTTAAAGTAAAAATATTAACACATAGCTTTTGAATCAGCATTACTGAAACTGAATAATTAAATTCGTAAGGCTATTCCTAGGTGTAAGTTTTGTGTAAAGGTAATTTTTAGAGCTCTTATTATAGTTAAGGTGCTTTAAATTAAATAGTAATTTTGATTTTCATAACTATGTATTCGATTTAAGGAGACTTTGTATTAACAGTTTTTTTATTGAGTTTATGACATTAACAGGATTGTATGCAGATCGACATTTTCAGTAGGTCAGAAAAAAACTTTAGGCAGGAAGGTTTTTCAGTAACATCAAGTAGACACCTACCACCAAGGGCAGAAACAAGTCACTGGGATTTCTATCTATTGCACACTTATCCGATTTTAAGTAGCAACCTTTAGAGCATAGGTCTCAAAAATTATTAAAAAAATATTTTTCATGTCACTTTTAACAAAATGCATTATTTATCAAATTTCATAAAATGATATAGTAAACTACTAGTTATAAATATTAAATGTTTTCCATGTATACTATCTTATATTAGGTAACGCGTTGGTGCCTTTTAAGGTACACTGTAAATAACTTTTCTAAATAGGAAGGCAATGACACCAGTGCAATAGGGTTCATGTCGCTAAAACCTAGAAATTATTAAAGTAGCTAACTGGTATGGTGAGTGTACTATTTTTTACACTTCGCTGCCGCTGTTTGCAGAAGACTACAAGGCATTTATTCACCTCTATTATTAATAATATCTTTAATATACCTGACTTGAAAGGAATAAAAGAACGAGGCGCAGACAGGTAAACAATAACTTTAACCAATATAAATCAAATAGCCCCATTTACATAGAGTGGCCGCAGAATTTACTTTAAGAATGGGCGGAACAGTAAAGTTAATTAAGGAATTTAAGGAAAGTGGAAACTTGAGGATACTCCCAGGGTTACTTACTAGGTTAAAAAGGGCAGCTGAATATTAATAATATTATTCACTCGACATGAAATTAGGCTTGAAGAACTTGAAGAGTTTGAAAACCTTTGTAACGAAGAGGGCCTAAAAACTAAGGTGTATCTTTATGAAGTAAATTTGAAAGATATTTCCGTCACAGATCTTGGAATGGAACATTTTAAGAATTTGAAACATTTAAAAACATTGGTGCTTGACAATAACAGGTTGTTTTCTCCTTTAAAAACTAAGTTTTTATATTTATTAAAAGTTGTATAGATACATAAGTGAGGAAGGACTAAAAAAGGTTCTTCAGAACCAAAACCCAAGCTCTTTAAACGTTACAACGCGTAATTGCAGGTATCTAACCGAATCGGCGTTCAAAAATTTGACTAAGCAAAATATTAAAAGCAGTTAGCAATAGTTTAAGGGTAATTAAAATTTTATTTAAATATATAAAAACAGATACTAATATATTTATTCTCAAAGTGCGCTAAAATAAAAAGTTAAACTAACCCCTGAGTCTCCTCGAGTCTTACAAGCTCCTCAAGATCAATGCTTTTTTTTTTTAACTCTCTTTAGCTTTTATGTAAAAAAAAGTTGTAACCTTTTATTTTTCATATTGGTATTCATGTAAGGTAGTTAATTTATGTATCAAAGTGTATTACAGCCCAAATAAGGTAGCAAAAGGTTACCCTAAACTCAAGACTCATAACATGAAGCCCGAAAAGCATTTTAGCACCGAGTCCTCGGTTTAAGCACGAATTTATGTCTACTTTGCTTTATTATTTGGTTGCTTCATCTTAAACCCTTGAAAGTCATTAGGTAGAGCACTGCTCTTAAGTACGTGCTCGAAATTCCACCTACTATGATAGTGGGCACGTTTCGGTTAATAGCATAGCCACTACCAACCTTCGTGAAGGAGCTTGGACTTTTCAATAGGAAAGGTACTTTACAGTTCCCAAGCAATGTTTGTGTTTAAGTTATTGACTAATTCGCTTTTTAATGAACGTCAATCCCTTGGATAAAACAATAAAGTTACTTTACCAACCCAAACCTAAAAACATCGTACTACTTGATAATAGTAGTAGTTAAATACTGAAATGCTATGTATTTTAATTTTTAGCTATCAAGAGCAGTCCTCTTGAACCATTGCTTTAAAGGAAGTTAATGATAATTCGTTTTTGCTCAATCTTTTTCTTAGCTCTCGTCAGCGCACTTTTGTTTAATTATTATAGAAATTTAAAATAATTTAATTATTAATAACGAGTGGTTATACGGTCACATCTGTCATTTCGATTGCTAAACTATCCAACATTGCTCATGTAAAAGTTAAAGATAAAATTGTATTAATATCGTAAATTAAAAATAGATTCATCTTTTATATATAAAAGAAGTTGCAATCATAATCTTTTAAGGGCAGTGGTTCGATCTATTAACTAGAGGTACTTCATTGTTACTAGTAAAAGGACGCAATAGCATGAAAAAAAAATAGTTCATTTATTACAGCAACTACTACATACGGATATTTTGAAGTATAGGCGTCATATAAATTATTTTAAAGCTCGCAATCTGATAACGCGTATGATTCTTTAACTTTATGGCAATAACTTAACCTTATTATTATATAACCATCACAGGTTTATATGCAGAGTGCTTTGATTTTTAAAAAAAAATTAAAAAATTTGTAATTACCGATATCCCTCATAAAAAATTTAGTATTTTATTCAATTTTTGTTTTTCTTAATATTTCGTTTATTAATTATTTTTAGTACGTTATCATCATTTTAATTACATAATAATGTAATAAGTTCCAAGTTTTAAGAGGCTAAAGTTAGCTTTAGACTAAAAAATTAAATATTTCAAGACTGGAGACGGAATTAACCTTATATTTTCTCAAGGGATCATAAGAAAGATAAGGGATAAATAGTCCAAAAAAAAAGTTAACAATTGAATATAGGCATTGAATTAATATATGGCAAGATAGATAAATAAAATGCGAAAACTAAATTAAAAACATACTTTCTAAGAAATGGAAATTTAGTGACGGGAGAAGTTAAAAACGTTGACGAAGAACTATACAGTATAGTAGGCTCCCTATAACACGTAGCTGAGAGCATTAGTCTCTTTTGTGTTACTAATCTTAGTAGGTGTCTTTTTTTTACTTAACGACTACTTTTATATCAGAATACCCTTGAAGGTTTTTGGGTTAAGAGTTCCTTCCCATCCAACTCCATCGAAAATAAGCTACTATTGAAATGCTACTCGAATTGTTTTTAAACAGATAACTTTAACAAGCCTTTTGCGAAGTAAATGAGAAATCTTACTCAGAGACGATTTAAAGTCGATAAAAGTATTTATCAAAATTTACTTTTCTTATCTCTCGAGAAATTACCAAGCTCTAGTTTCGAATGTCTCTAAATGTTGTTTAAGATTCATCGCTACGCCATAAAAGAATTAAAAAGAATCAGTTATATAGGGCATTTCTTGGCTATATACAATAAAGCAGGAATACTTAAAGTCTTTTGCTTGATGTCACCGAAGAATAAACATAAGTATAGTGCCAAAACAGAAAACAGATGTGATAGTTCCAAAACCCATGTGCACCTAGAATAATCCGATAGATCTTTAATGTTTAGTATTATGAAACCTAAATATTTTAGGTGATAAAACTGCGACCCAACTTTTGGAGGTTATTGGGATCCTAAGGCGAGATACTAATTGGTAAAGTTAAAAAATTAATACACCTTAACCTGACTTTGGCGTGAGGTTATCAAATAAAATTGGGGTCTACCACCATTTGGCGAATAGCAATTATAAAAGGCAAATTCTAACAATTATCATCCACCATCCCTCATTTTCTCATAATTTTACTTCCTGTGCAGAATACTATTCTTTACTGGACACACTCATGGTGATCCCAATATAATTTAATAGAAGAACTGTTTGAGACCTGAGCATACTGTCTAAAACAATTTCAATGTGTTACTTTTTTTTAAACTAACCTACCGTGAACACATTTTTGGCAAGCAAACTGCAGAAGAGGGAAATATGTATACTTAATATTAAATTTTTATATTGAGTCATTTTATGTTATGTTGTTTTCTCATTCTAACTAATGTATTTTTATAAACCATTCGCACTAAAAAAATAAGCATGTTTCTTTTTCTTAAAACTTGAGCTTTCCCTTATAACCGCCGCACATTGTCGAAAGAGGATAATAGTAATGTGTAAACAAGGCCACCATTGCATTGCATGACAACCAACCAACCATTTGGTAAAGATATATATTAGCAAGAAAAAGAAAATTTAACAAGATCAAAAAAAAAATTGGACAAATGAAATTTTTACAAGATACAAGACGCACCTTTTTTTGTAAGGTTTTAGAATTAAAAACGGTCTAATTTTTTTATAAAAATTTAAAACATTAACTATTCATAATTTTAATTGTCAGTAATAAATATAATTCTTTTATAAAAGGTCGCACAAATCTATTTTTATAGATAAACTGTTTTAAAGCCTATAAACTTTATTAAATGCTGAAAACTTATAGGATCTGACCTTAAGTTAATACCGGTCACTCAACAATTTGGAACCCATAGTATTTTCAACAATTTGTCTAACATTCGTGTGCTATGAAAATATCTTCCATAAAAACAAAGAATTACAGAGGTTCAAATGAATAAACGCGCTATTTAAGATATAAAGAACGTACTATTAGTTCTCATCCTTATATCAACTATCGTATTGTATACCAATATGTTACTAGGACGAACTGAGAACATGCATTGTGAAATGTCAATTTCAAAAGCTGTGTATACGCTTGCTACGGCCTTCTTATAACAAGTGACAAAAATTATATAACTATTTTTTAGCTTTCAAAGTGAGCTTTACCGTAAACAGTAGAATTATTACGTAAGTAAAATAGCTAAGTTGTTAAAATAATTTTTAAGAAGGTAAAACTGTTACTAAATTTACTTTGTGAGGTCGATTAGATGAACATTTATGACTTGCTTTTTTAATTTTTTAGTACTTAAACTAAAAGCAGTAAGCAATTTTTATTACCCGTTATATAAATTGTATACCAATTTCCTACCAATCCCTATTTTGTTAAAAACTTATAAACTTCTTTGCGTCATTAACTGAATGAATTAGTATAAGAGCGGGTAAAAAAAAGAAATGAATATTATATAACACTGTATGCACTAATTTGAAAAAGAAAGTAATAAAATTTCTTAAAGAAATATTAAAAAAAAAATTAAAATTTGCGTGGTTCTTAAGCCCCCTTAATATAGATAGCTGGCCGGTAAACTACCCTTTTTAACCAAAATTATATTGCAAAGCCTTTATGTGCTCTTCGGCTTAATGAAAGTTAGTGAGTCGCAGCTCTGGAGAAATTTTGTTTTTCACAAAAGAATTGGCAACAGTACAATATTACCGGATTTTTCTTATTGTGGTTATAAGTATAGCGATGAAGAGCTTCCAAGAAACTATGTAAGCTTTTTAACTTTGTATCCACATTTAAGCAGTAATATTATATTTAATGAGAATTGGCCAGTTTATTTAGTTGATGATTACGGAGGCAAACCAAATACTAAGGGTATATTGATAAAACTTTCTTAATATTTTATCATATAAATCCGTTGATAGATTTTTGCGACGAGGCTTTGTTAAAAGCAATTAATGCAGCCGCTTCAACTGGTCAACCTGCTAAAATTTTTTCATAACTTTTGTTAACATTAATTTTGATTAAAGGCGGAGGGGGTATCATACAATTTTCGGCTGGATCGTACTATATTGGTGTAGGGAATAATGAGAGGGATGTAATTAAAATTCATCATTCAAATGTCATAATTAGGGGGAAAGGCTCTAATGGTAAGTGTCAAATGCTTTATGGTATTAAGGGCTTCTTTATCACACATTTATAAAATTGATTGCTATAATAAATTCTCAAACCTAATGACGTAAAGAAAGCTGCTAATCTGCAGTGCTAGCTTACGAAGTTTAATTATCTAATAAGTGATAACTTAAAAGTAAAGCTACGAAGAATATCTCGATATTAATAAATTTATTTTTTACTGCATTGTAGATCCACTTATATTATAAATTAAAACTTTAGAAACTCTTTTGTTTATACATGGGTGCAAACCGGTTAATTCCCTATGTAACATCATATTTGAACCCAATCTTAAGCCTACTAAGAAATTGGGTACCGTTTACTTTTACTAATTCATTTTTAAACAAAAATTTACTATTATTATCAGTTTCAACGTTTTATTTTAGAATCCTGTTATGTATTATCAAATTAGAGTACTTAAAAATTCTACTTTTACTGTAAAGGCACTCTCGCAGGTCCCGTTAATAGAGGAAGTTTTCAAATAAAAGTTAACTCAGTGCTGAATTTTAAAGTAGACCATGACATCATTATCAGGACAATGAGCCCGAAATTTTCTGCAAGTATTTGTTTAAAGTAATTTTATTTTAATTAATTAATTATTATCCGGAAATGTTAACTAGATTACTTCCGGCCTTACGAAGTCAATAAAAGGTTTACGAGATTATACAAAAAGGTGTTTCTGTTAATAGTTGTTGAGCAAAGCGGAGAGTTTTTAAATGGTTAAATTACAGGGTCTAATTGTAAACGAAAACCATCTTATTAAAACAATTGATCATAAAACGAAAATACTTACCCTCTATGAGCCTGTCATGGTTACTTCACAGTTCTTTCTACAGTTATTTATAACTTTCTTTGTTTACTTGAAAACTTAATAAATATTAGATTGACATCGATAAGGATTCATTTTTGTACTTCGAAATTAGAGAGCATACTACGCTTAGAAATTGTGGCTTTGAAGACTTGAAGTGAGCAAATTCTAAATCTACAATTAAATATAATAAGCATATATTGTAAAAGAATAATGAGTAATTGGAAGTATTACCCAGAAGAATTTTCACATCATAAAGATGCCATACACGATTACGGTAACAATTCTGATCACCTTATAAGTTATCCATAAGCTCTATGCATATTATTTATGGGTATAAAATTTTATATACGGAAAAAGGGGTACGACAAATGCTCCAATATACTTTTTATGCGCATCATCGATGATTTATACATAAAATTACAATGCAAAAAACATTATTCACGTTGTGCGCCCAAATTTTCTGCTTGATATTGCTAATTAGTCATTGTAGCCTCCAGCACGCTTTAATGACAACCTTGTCATTACAGAATATTAAAATATAGCTTTGCAAATAGTATACCTCACGAATAATTGGAAAGATTTATTGGCTATTTTTATTTTCAAGCATATAGTTATATGGATTTTATATAAGTAAAACACCAGCTATTAAGCTGTTTTTAAAATTTTAATTTCGCACAACGATTTTTAAGGTTGGCAAGCTTTGAAGATGCAATCGGTTCGAAATGGTTGGATAAGAAGGTTTATTCTCCTTTTTTTTATTTAATAAATGTATTTTAGCTGATTTTATAATTAAATAATATTTTTTTTTTTTGTTAATTAATGCTGTTTTAGAAAGTGTTACCACCACCACTTTCGTTAAACTAAATATCTTAGATATAGGAAAGAGAACAGATATTGCCCTTCTTTTATTAATGCTCACATCCTTAAGTATATATGTCACTATCGATTCGGTTGGGTTTCACATAATTATTCTGACAATTATATAATGTAAAGATGTGTATTTGAAAGTTTAAGCTGCGGGATTATCCTCGACTCCTGCTGTGCTTTCACTGTAGAGGACTGCACATTTGAGGGCAAGCGAGGGCACTACTCCATTATCACCCAGCGAGGCCTTAGTGTAATATTTTTCGTTAAATCAGTTTGTAAGCTTCTTTATATTAATAGGTTACGGCTGTCTAGTTAAGAATTGTGAGGACACCTGCCTAAACCATCACGGCCCAAACGTTGGGTATCAAGGCTGCAACACTGTTTATTTGGTTTCTTTAATTATATATTGTAGCTTTCATTTTTCACCATTTTTATTGTATTTTTTTTTTAGAGATTTAAGTCGTTGCCTGGGCAAAGTATTGATTGCCATTCGGGGTTATTTTTTCTTCCTTTTTTTTTTTCAAAAAAAAATTCTTTTATTCAGCTATCCTTATGCCACTCTCTTTGACGACATTCAATACGGTGGTGTATGGAATAATAACGGAGGGCCTCTGTGTTCCTACCCTAACCATAACAAGGTAAAACTATGCAGCTTGAAAATCTATATTATCCAATAAAAGTTTAGGATCTTGTATTTTGGAACTATAACCACCGCTCTTCGGATAGCCTGCCAGTTTACTATAGTTTTTGGTTGATTTAAGCTACTTTCCATGTATAAATCTTTTTATTGACTGGTCATTTGCTTTTTTTGGTAGGAGAGAAGACCTTACCGATCTACGACCGCGAAACGTGTTTTTTTTCCCCATTCTCGTGGGTTGCACAGGGAACATGCCAGAGAAAGCACTAATAATTATTAGATGTGTGAAAGGCTTCTAACCTGTTTTACACCGTTATACCATTTAGACCATTGATATCCACACATGCTTAGCTGTGGAATCTTTAAATAAAAGAGTTGAGCCAAGGTACCTCCTAACTACTCTTCTCATCTTACAACTTGGTTATTTAAGTGATAATTCAATACTGAAGTTCGTTGTTTGAAGCGCAGTTGGCTCTTAAACATAAGTTATGCCTTGGAGATTCCGGTTATGTACTGATCAGCATTTAATTATTAAAGGGAGTTATACATATTTTTAGAAGCTCTTGTTGAGGGTTTGAGTTTAGAGGCTTCCCGCCTTAAAGGGTTGAAAGGCATCTACTTTGACGCCAGCAATACCGATAACCTACTCTTGTAATTACACTGCGTATTTTTTAAACAATAATGACAGAGACTCTCCCATGAGTAAAGGGATCCTTCTTTTGAACTTCTGTTGGCTGGCGGAAGAAGAAACACGCCGTGGAGAAACTACGGCGCGGGATTCTCTCCATCCACTGTAATTCCACCTACTTCTCTGAAGTGCTGTAGTGGATGTATCTCCCGTCGTTATACCCTCACAGAACGGAAGAAGCGGCGCTCTAAATAACTCGTCCAAACATCCTGGCATTCAAGTCAGAGGAGCAAATTACCAGAATGTATTGTTGGTGTTCTTTCACAGAAGTAACGTTTACTGATCATAAAACCGAGCTAGCCTGGAGCAGGCGCGCAACAGATGGTGTACATCTCCCTTAAACCTCCTAAGAGATTCGTCTTTGGCGGTTATTCCAGAGGGAAAAGAATTGAGCTCTTAGCAGGAAGCACGCCAGAAGACTACTGTCTCTGCGTCACGTTGCACTATAAAGACGGTTTCCTCTATAACACAGAAAGTGTAAGGGGCTGTTCGCCATAACCTGTTATAGGAACGACTTCGGAATTCAGGACTTTTTTTGGCAGCCACAGTGACAAATGGGAAAAAAGCGAGGGTTTATTTTTGTTTGCACTTGCTTTCATACATACGCTTAGTGAAATAACTTTGCTAGGAGAGTTTTCCCTAGAGAAAGAAATTAGAAAATTTGATTTTATCTGCATATTTCAAAATTATAACGGCACCGCCCTTTTTGACGATGTTTACCTATTTTTGTCAAATTGAAACTATTAGACAGTTCTTATTTTGCTCCTTTTACTATTAATTTTAACTATAATAAATGTTTCTTGTGATTAAATGTAGATTTACTAGGCAGCTGTCTAAGTTTTATACATAAATAAATTGCTTCTCATACATTTCAATATAATTATGAGGCATTAGCCTAATGCCAGTGGAGAAAGTTACAGGATATATTAGCACCGAAACAAGTATTTAGAAAAAAGTGCTTTATATTGTTCCGTTATATATAGTCTTTGTGTATGTTAGGACCCCATACCTTAATAAATGATTACTTGCTCCCTTAAGCAAGGCGCCACTTTTTGGCGTAAGGAAAATCAAACGTGTAATAGTAATCCGCATATATACAAAAAGCCACCAGCAAAATATTTTATTTCTAGACACTTTTCACTAATTAGATAAGGTTATTACTGTGCTACTGAGTTGGAAGACAAAAAACTTCAGTTATTATTAAAGATACATAAGTTAGTGAAACACACCCCTTATTTATATACACATCTCCCCGCTCTGACTCACGATTGTAAACTCAGCGCCATGTTTAATAGTTTGTATAAAGTTTCATCTTTGAGCTTCTGAGTTAGGGCCACGTACTGCGTTTTATACGCGAGTGTAGCGTCCAACCTTTACCTCTTCATACGTTCTGTCACTAGTAAGTTCGGTATTCATACCTGTTTACGAAAACAAGAAAGCTCATCATAAAATTACTTACAAGTCTGAAACAAATTAATGCACCGCCGAAAGAAAGTGTAAATTGATAATTAGTAGATGAAGCCAAATTTCATGTCAACTTAGCCCTGTTAAAATTTAATTTAGTTAGGAGAACTATAATCTGTTGTGGCGTACCCCACTTATATAGTAATTTTTTATTAAATTTAAACTTTTTCATAAAAATTATAACAATTTATTTATTAATTCATTATAATAAAATATTTATTTTCGCTCCCATCAAAGTGCAGGTGCGAATTATTGTTTTGGTAATTATAATAAATCTTGTCTCAACATAGAATCCATACAATTTGCATACAACGTGACAAAACGGGGGGATACTCATTGCTTTTTGAGTAAATAGTCCATGTGTAACTTTCAGATAATAGCCCTCTATGGGCCACGTTTAATTTAGGTTTTGCTGAAGTCTCCATGATTTTTAGTAGAGTTTGGTTTAATAATTAAATTTAAGCAATCATATGATCTATGATGTAAAATAGCCTTTTTGACAGTTACTTTTATTTAGTCTATCATTGAAGTACGTGTTAAGGTTACTTAAAATTTGGGGGCACCTTTTTTTGGGCTTTCAAGTGGTCCCGATAATTATGGTTTCCTTTTGTAATAAAAGCATGTAGTTATTGCTATTCCTTAATTAACGTGAGCATTTAAATGACAAGTATAAGCTCCATCATTAGGTAGTATGAGAGGTCTAGTTTTCTTATTAATAAAACTTTTAAAATTTCATTGGCCTTAATTTAAGTATCCAATGATAATAAAAGTATTTAAATTACTTTTAAAGTACAAGCTGTCAGTAAAGTAATAGTAAAGTTCAATTTAATTTGATAATCCTCAAAGTGAACTAGACAAACTTGATTAGGTATCGAACCCGTTCTCAAACCTTATTTTATAAATTTATTAAAATTAAGGTTTTATCTAAGACTAACAAACTTCTTAACTTAGCCCTATAATACTAATCGGGGTTACGTAAACCCAGCACTACAAACCACCACGATTTTATTCCGCGTAAGCTGCCAGCCGTGAATTTTCATATTAAATATTTTTTACCATCACATATAAATATTGTAACGCTCTCACATTAGTAGTAATATAGTTCAGCCGTAAAAATTAATGTGTGTATTATAAAAGTGCTTGAAATTACGCGTAACTCCTTTCAGTATTCGGGTTAAAGTTGAGATATAGGCTTTGAGGGTAAGCGGGCGAAATTGGTAGCTCTATTTTTTGTTTAAATTATCTACCTAGTTTAAAATAATCATGCCACGTAATTAACAAGTTGTTATTAAGTTAATAATTCCAGTAGCACGTTGATGGAAGCAACTAAATCATACAAATACTGCGGCCTCTAGCTTATAACTCCGTGTAAGTGCTTTCGCTTGCATAGGCTTGTGTGACGAGTGACAGGAATGGCACTATCTCGAGTACAAGAGACGCTGGTGCTGGTAGCAGCATAGTTTCAATGAACTAACCAGTGAATAATAGTGGTAGTACTATATAAATGGTATAGTATTAGTACTGTTAGAAGATAGTACTATTTACTAGTATATATAGTTAGATCGAGGAGGGCAATCAAACTCAGAGTAGAATGTTCAATCTTCCAATGAAGATATTTCACAATAAAGAGCAAATCGCTTCAATTTACTCAAGATATTTTCAACAGAAGTCACGAAAGGACTGTCTCGGGCATATGCATATATATACTAGTAAATAGTACTATCTTCTAACAGCACTAAAAACTATACTATTACCACTATTATTCACTGGTTAGTTCATTTAAACTATTGAAGCGATTTGCTATGTATTGTAAAATACATTCCTTTGAAGGTAACACATTCTATTCTAAACATGTTGCCCTGCTCGATTGAAACATGAGGAATGCTTTCCTGATAAAAAAATTTTATGTTCCCGCAATAAATAATTTTTAAAAAGATGTCTATTCCCCCCTTTTTTTTAAAGCAGTTATATCCTTATTATAGATGTCAACTTTGAGTAGCTTATCTAAAGCTTTCAGAAAGCTGTCTTACTAAAGAAGTACCCGATAATACATATTAAACCAAACTTCTATAGACTTCTTGCAACAGAACTCTTCCGCCTTTGAATATTGAGCTGCAAAGTAAATTGCACCTGCTCCGTAGAGCCTGTTCCAACAATAATATTAATAGCTAGTTCACTTTCTTTACTTACCACATGGTTTTAAAAGGTTTTAACTATCGAGTTAATAAAATTAAATAGAAACTCTTACTTAGTATGAAATAAAATTACTGAATGTCGCTTGGACGCTAGACTCACCAAAAATTTTAGTATTTTTTCCTATATAATGCCACTTTTTTTTAAAAAAACTCAAAGGTAGTATTAAAAGTGGTTCCTAGTTTATTAGGAGTAGCTTAAATGACTCCATAGATAACTTTACCTAAGAATAGGGACATCACTTCGACATATGCATAAGCATTTAGGCAGGTTAAATAGCCGATACAACTCTCTACACAAACATATCAGTCCCACGTAGGGCCAGTGCTTGAACGCCCTGAGGTATTAACGTAACTGAGCTATTCCAATTAACCTGTTATTAGTGCAAAATAGCGTTCATCCTCAACTAATCATCATGAAAGTCAACGTACTTGAGAAACAGAACTCTGCTTCATGCCGTAATCCTTGCACAGGCTGACATATCTCTTGGGGTTACTGCCAATTTTATTTTTGCCAGCGTTAGACGGGGCCTATGTTGTCTCTTGCTCCTTGGGTTAGAGTTAGATATTACCACCCATAACGAAGATTAAGTTCGTTTCAGGATAAAAAAATTACTAGAGAAGTGTTATCTAAGTTATGGTAAAAGGAGAGATCTATGACACGGATCAAAAAGTGGGAAAGTATAAGCAGGTGGTACTAGATGAGTCACTAGATGATTTTTCTCAATAACAAACCAACGTAATAAAAGTCTTCATCTTTTTGCTTATATTATTAAAAAAAGTTACAAGGTCAAACTATTTTTATCACTGCATCTGGATCACCGCAAACTTATTTTTGTTCACACTTTTTTTTTAGCTTGTCACAACACAAGGCCATGGCTATTTAAAGGTATCGTACGAAACATCCAAGAGCAGCGGTTCTAATTTAATATTTTATAGAACAAAAGCTCACACAACTCTTTAAATCTCCGTTTGCAGAAAAACGGTCTAAATGTTTAAACCTCTTTTTCTTATAATTATGTGAAGCGTTTGTTGGCTAGTTGCTACTATTATGTATACTCAGGCTATATCGAAAAAAATATTTCAAAACCTAAGGGTAAAAGTAGTAGTTAATTTAAAAAGTTCTATTACTTTTTATTTGTTTGAGAAAACAAGTAGATGTTACAATTGGGGCCGAAAGCTATGAGTTTTACGCCATATAGGCTTTGCGCGTCAATGCTTTAAACCACTAACCAACAGTGACAACTTCTGGGGATAAATTTCGTTAACACGAGTGGTGAATGTCTTCGTTTGGGCAGGTACTCTATTGGTAGAGCAATTTTATTTAAATAAAATGTTACTTTTGAAGTGCTAATTCAGTTATAATAATGTCCACAATTACTTATCAAGAATTTTTAGAACAAGGAAATGAATTTGTAACGAGATCCGACTGGTTAAAAGAAGGTCAATTTAGGTGGCTAAAGCAGTTTCATAGATTTCTTGTTAATTTATGCGTATCATAATATTATAGGCTGGTTTTGGGTAAACAGGGAGAGTAAAATTTATGGAGAAACATACCTTAAGAAATGTAATTACCAAATTAATATTAAAACTAACACCACCTGCCCTTCTTACTTATTAAAAAACGAAAAGGATGAATTTCCCTGTAAGTTAATAGACAAAAGTTGTACACCTGAAGAGCTGGATATTGGTATATATATATTCAGTTGAAAAGTTAATTAATAACATTTTCAAGTAGATATGTCTCTTCTATTAATAGAGAACCATGATACCGCTCTTCATTGTATCTCGCCTGGACAAGTAGGGACAGATATTCACGAATATGATTTAGAAATTGTGTACTCTCCAAGTTATCAAGTGTTTATTTTAAATTTTTACATAGTATACTTGGTAAATTGAGCTATGTGCACACTAGGTGCCCGTTTTACACTTTATTGGAAGGGATGCTAAGACCGGGAGGAGGCTCTCCTTAAAGTCGATCTGGGAAGATTTTGAGCGTATAACGTGTTTAACACTCTCTAAAGACGAATTAATGGCCACTATTACTCAAGGAGAGCATCTTGTTACTAGAAAGGTTAAAATCGCACCGACCTTTATTGCAACTCCTTAACTCGTCTAACAGATTTGTTATTATCTGCATCCGTGCCACACCGCCAAATTAATGAATAACATATTACAAGCCAACAGAAGGGCTGGTGAGAGCTCCCATAACAAGAGCTACTATTTACTTTCGTGGCTGAGTATTTTTGGTTCGGTAATTGGGCTCAACGTTACCTGTAAGTTCCTGAAGTGACTTTGTGCTCCAATAAAAAAGTGTATATATCAAAGCTACAGCAGAGCACTTTTTATTTCCTCTATTCGTCTCTCGGTGCAGCACAAGTATTTAGCATATATTGTGCTTTCGTGCTTTTATGAGCTATCTCAAGACTAGCGATGGCCCCCAGAAGAGAGTCTGCCGAGCTGCACCCCTCGTGCTGCTGCTTAATCCGTTCTTCCAACTGTCGATAACTTGCCGCCACCTCCTTTACCTAGAGGAGGGGACAATTAGTTTTATGTTTACGTAAAGAAACTAATAAGTTACTAACAGCGTTACTAGTACTGTTCATGTCTTTTTGATAATTTCGCATAGCATTTTCAGCGAGTGCCAAAGTCTTTGGTAGGCCTAACCAACAAGAGCTAAGCTTTTTAGTTCATGCAAAAAGAGCGAAGTAAAAAGTGCACAAAAAAACTCTGTGATCACTTTCATATAGTGGCTATACTAACTTAGCCATTGTAGACAAAAGATATGTTAGAAAAAAAAAAAAGGGACATAATATTATAAATCATACAAAAGTGGCGATAACATCTAATATAGCATAAACTTCAAGTAGGAAAGGGAGCTGACATAAAATAATAGACAACAAAACGAACTATGTAAATTATCTTGGGTAGTTTCTAGAGTTTGAATGCGGTACAACGTGGTTTTCAGCGCGATCAAAAATTTGTTAAAGTTCTTATTAAAAACTTCTAAGTTGGTTGTGCACGCAGTAATATTATTGACCTAAAATAAAGTTAGTATAATTCGCATTAACCAAAAAAACTGTAAAAAACAACAAACGAGGGATAAGGAGGGTGAGGAGACTGTTCCAGAAAAAAAAAACATACAAAATTCTCAACAAGAGTGTACGATGTCATAAGATGGTGAGCTTTCCTTATACTTTGCCTCAACTTGGCGTTGTCTCTTTTTAACTTCTCGTTCAGCTGCCATATCGCCGATATTTGCGTCTGCGAAGGTTATAAGTTAACAACTTGGCTTGAAAGACTGGTTTATATCACTTTAGCGGCACGCTTCTGCTTTAGGAAGCAAAGCGAAGCGTGATTTTCACAATAGAGCATCTGAATTAGCCTAGCTTCTTGTAGTTCAATAGCAACTTCTTTTTCTGTTAAATTCTGAGGTGGGAGCGTGGGCAAAGGACCTGAGAACAAGGGCTAGTGAAAGGAAGTCTTGAAGATTTTACTAAAGGTTTATAAGTTGTAGCTGTCCTACCTTCGGACTTCAAAGTAGGTGCTACCGAATTTCCTTCTGTAAGGGATTTATAATTTTTTGTTAAAAGTAAGTTTTTAGTTCCTAAAGATACAGCTTGATGGCTATGCTTTAAGGCTGCTTTAAAAGGATTAACAAGCTGTACTCTTCCTTTCGAACCTAAAGTAGAAAAAGATAAAGTTGTATTAATTTCACCATCTGCTTTTACAAAGTTAATCCTCCTGGTGCGCCCATATTTATTGTTCTCAGGAAGTATTATTTTTCTAAACGCACAAGGTGAATGGTTAGTTGTGCCTCCAATACCTTGTTTAGGTTGCTGAATATCTTTCATTTTTTTAGGTTTTTCGGTAATTGCTTCGAAACCTTTTGAGTAGCTGTGAGTATCTTTATTCTTTAAGGGCGCAGCCCCGTGAATCGTAGTAGTTAAAAGTTCTTTCCCACTTGTTGACCCACACACATCCTTAAAACTTATTACTAATTCGCTTTGAGTTTTTAAATTTTCCTTCAATACTTTTTCCATGCCTCAGTGCTCTAAATTGTATCTTTAATTGCAAATTTCCTAAGGCGTAAAATAAAAAAACACTAGTTGAAAAATTTAAGTTCAAAAAATTAATAGTAACACCTTATAATTAAATGTAATTATATAAAGATTTCCCCTACGAAGATTATGAAAAATGAGAGTATTTCCTGAAATGCGGATTATTCAAAAGTAAATGGCAGGATTCGCCAGTGAATACATATTGCTACAGAATTTTTTAACGCCTTCAGTGTTGCCTCCTTCCTTAGTGGTTTTACCAATAAAAAAATTAACAAATATAGCTCTTTTACGCTATTGTTTTATTAAATAAGCATTTTTGAATTATAAAAAACAGTAAAGTTTTAATAAATACAAAAAAAAATACCAGTAAAACAATACAACTTTTTCTTAAAGTCAGCAGATTTTGCACGTCGAGGTAGACAGATTCCCGCTTTCTAGCTAACCACTACAGAACACACTTGACTGTTTAAGAGGTCAACAAATTAACAACAAAGGAACAGTAAGATAGCCCGGCGCTCGCCAATGGATAGCCTCAAGCCAGAGTACAAAATTTGGTATGTATATAAACTAACCCACTACCTAACGATATTAAACATATTATAGTTAGTAATAGGTAAAATTTTTAGGAAAATCGTGTATGTGATATTACTAACGATAGTTTTGTTATCATTTTGTTGGTTTTGAAATTTAGTAAAAAGGATCACGACACTACTTTACACGAAGATAGAGTCGTTTTCAATGCCTTATACAGATAATTGCGACATGTTTATTTTGCCTATCGCTTCGTTGTAAAGAGCTATAAATAGTAAAATATTTAGGGTATTTAAATCTTTACTGGCCGGTGTCTAAATCTTTAAACCCTTTAAAATTAATTGTAAACAAATATATATATAGTGAGAGAGATGTACAGGTGTGACTAAACAAGAAACTCTGAAAAAAAATTAACTCGACTGCCGGTTTATTTTTCGTGAACCTTCATTATATATTAACAACTAAGAATGAAATAATCTAAATAGTAATCAAAAAATTGCCTAAAATGGTAATTTGCGTTAAAACTTATGGACTGGGATCTTTTTCTTCAACCACAGACTATGAAGCACGGGTAGGGCTCCTCCCCTCTGAATGAGGAGGTCATACCCGGGGAGGCCAGCTGGGTTCGGTCTTGCGCTTAGGACTGCCTCTTTCGGTGGTAGTTTTTAGCGGTTTTCCACCACACTAGACTAAATGGTTGGAGTCTGGGCTGGAGGTTTCCCGCTTTTCTAGTCCTTCGGGACATATTATAGCTCTATAAAGAGCGTATACTGGTGGGTACACGTGACCCAAACCCTGCCGAAGAGGAATTTAAATTAAGCGGCTTAAAGCTCCTATAAAGACCGACCGTAGTATGCTAGTGCCTAAAAAAAAAGCACGTCATGGAAAGAGACCTTGAACTGAGTGTGACCTACGCGCCAGGATATTTTTTTGCGAACTACTTAACTGTTTAGCACAACTCCCTATTTATACTTGCATTAATTTTGTTATTTATTTTTTCTTGTTTATATACCTACCTAATACGTATATATTTATTTTTAATTTTTTTGGCTAAACTTTTATTAATTTCTTATTTAGACTAGAATTTTATTTTTTTTAATGTTGTTATGGGTAATTTTCCCGCTAATAAAGAGCGAAATTAATAGCCGATCTATTTACTGCAAATCCAGCATTGAACGAGGGGTTTAAGTAGCTTAAGGTGAAATTGATTTACCTAAAAAGAGATAAATATTTTGTAAAACACTTAAAAGGAGGGCTTAAAAGGCGGAAAGAACTTTGTATTCTTTAAATCACTCTGGACGCTGCAAACACTATTTCTTCCGCGTAAAAATTTTAGGAAAGGCTTAGACTTGTTAAGAGGGCACTGTTAAAGATAGCGAATGGAGAGAGGTCCTTTCTGGTAGTATTAATGTATAATGTAATAATTTTAGTAATAGTTGTAGTAGTAAATTTTTAAAATTAATAACGATAGTAATATGAACACTAGAAGAGTAGTTTATAGCGATAACAACATTTGAAACTATTAACTATATTAGTTAAAGTAATTACAGGGGGTTGTAAAGATAAAAAGTTAACAATGTTGATAACAACGGTATCAATGACGATAGAAATACCAATAATTATAATAACCAAAAAAAATGCAGAATACTCCTCGTAACAATAACAATACGTAACGGAAATTTATGGTATGGGGTGTTTTCACATTGTAAAAACTAATTATGCTAAGTTTTTATTTGCTAATAGATTTTAGAAAAGATAACTATTGAGTATTATACATATCGACTTCCATCCAAGAAAGAGCTTTAAGTAGTCTTTCGTGGTGTTAATGAGGAATGGGTTTAACGGAAGTCTGAAAAGATAAGAAAACCGGGGTTTTATATTAAAGTTTGCAGGAGCGCGGTACTCAATCAATATAGAACTTTGCTATCCTTAGTCATAGTCAAAGTATGCAAAATTAAAAGTAATATTTTTTAAAAAGAATTATATTGATTTTATTTCCATCTCAGTTGACCTTTTAAAGAAGTATGGTAGATTTAAATAATGTTTTCGCTGCCAGTTATGCAGTTACGCAGACAAAATTTTCACTTTATGCATAGTTGCATGAATGCCTTGAAAACCATGATTCTAAACATGTCTGAGAAACCAACATACGCCAATTTGTAAAGATGAACACCTTGTTATAATAAAGGTTTTATAAACTTCCTTAAAAATACACTTTTTAGGGAAAACCTACTGTTTGTCGCCCGGTCACCTCGAAGACAAAACAACATAGTAACACCAAACAAAACTTACGCTTAGGCGACTACTGACAAAGGTGCTCTAATCCCCACTTACTGATTAGAACACTATTTCCTCCTGAACCTACACACCTATCCGTCTGGGGGCCTAGTGTATGATTCTATATAACCCTTTATAGCTTTTCTCACATTAAAAATAATTTGATATAAAATTTAAATGGTAGATGCTACGAGTGGTCATACTACGTATTTTAAGATGTTTTATTTTTCACAGATTAGTTGGAAGCTACACATAATAAATTATAAATATATATACATTGCCCTAATATAACTTTGACCATATTTTATCTGACTTAGGTGAGTTAGAAGGCTACTTTTTAAGTGATACATTTTATCACTTGTAATATTAATAAAATTTTGTTTTTTTTAATTTTCTATAAAAATTATAAAAACCCATTAATCTTATATGGCATCTAATAATTAGTATATTTCTTTTGTATATTTTAAAGTTAATTTTATTATCACTATGAAGCTGGTATTAATTTGCTATTTCAAGAAATTTTAAAGCTGTTAGCTGAGTGGTCCTATTTTTTTTAAAAAAAGAATAGCTATATTTACCATAGCTATCAGCTTTGCGGAGTACAACTTAGTTTTTACAACTGGTTCTTTCCAGCTTAATACAGCATTTTTTATATTAATGTCGAAAAAAGGGCATCATTTACTAGTCTTTTAAATGTAGGTCTTGAATTTTTAATATATAAAAGTTGGTGTAAGTAGAGTAGACTGAACGGCGGTATTTATTATATTGGCGCTCACATCTCCAAAGAGGAGGGGACGCTACCTAACTTTTGATTTATATATTAACCTATAAGGAAAGAGGAGGGAAGCTTTGTTGATAACTTTATTTTAGTAATGACACCTGCTTCTCGAATGGGTCAAAACAACCGAAGATACGAGCTTTCAACAGAGCGATAGAGCACAAATTATATTTAAGCTTGTATTAAACCAACTTTTTTGACTATCTATTACTTTCAACCCTGATTCCACTAAAAATACAACAAAACGCAAAGTGCATCGCGCGAACGGCAATACGTGCGCCGTCCTATCATTCGTAACTGGAGCGCTTCTAATAATAGTCGGTTAGCGCGTAAGCCATTGGTAGATGGTATTACATTGCCCTGTAAAAAGCATCGTTTCGCACAAACCACGGTGCGCCCGTCATGACGCGTAGTAGCCCGTTTGTCTCGTAGCGAAGAGACAATTTGCCAATGATCCATAGGCCCAAGTAATAAACGCCTATGTTGTATTGACCAAGTACCGCACGTACAAACGTCGCTTGTTTTTTAACAATAGTTTGCTTTTCGCCCAAAGAAAAAGATACAGAATTTTAGCAGTCGCCTTGACCTTCGTCGCTATTTAGTTTAGGTGCGACTGCCAAGATAGCTTATTGTTAATGATGACCCCTATATATATCCCCTAGGTCGTCACGGAATTGTTTCGCCTTCAAAGGTCAACAATAGCGGTGGTGCAATACGCTTTTTTGAGACAGATTGGGTGCTTCTGTTCGCATTAACAGTAACTTTCCTAGGAAAATTTTAAGTTGGCGAGAGTAACTAGGTAGATATGCAGATGCTGGCGTAGTAAGGCCGGCGACTTTGAGGAGGGTGTAGGTAGTTGCTCTTTGGCATCAGCGAGGAAGGGCACTCAGAGCGCATTTTATCTGTAACCAAAGAAAGGTGACGTTTACTGAGAAGCGAAACCATTAGCAAAAAACGTCGCATTGTTTACATCATCTTTCGCTACAAAGACACCGCCTAGTAGAAGGGATAGTAATTGTTAGATTCACCACCACGCCAAAAAGTGGGTGCCACTATAAGGGAGCAGGAGAGCATTTTTTAAGGTATCAAATCCTAACAATAATAAATGCGTCAAGGTTCTGTATCACTAAAAAACTGTAAGCAATTGTGCTGTATAAACTCTAATGTCACATGCTCATATCACGTTTTTACATATACCTTGCATTATATATCATATGTCCGTTCCAAGTCTCTATACACATGCTTATACCATGTGCCTATACCGCGTTTTCTATGTTTGTCCCACATTTGTACTTACTGTAATTCTTCCCTGGAGGTATGAATAAATGGATCGCTCCTCTTCTTTTTTTTCTTCAATAGGCACGGGCGTTACCACCAACCTCTAAGATATGACAACTTTGTCTACCTTTGCCGGTATGGTGTTACAACAGTTCTTTCCAAAAGCGCCGGTGGAATCGATTATGTGCTAACTAGTCTTCGGGCTTTGTGGGAGGGGACGCCGTGACCACTGGGAAAACCATTATGTTCGCAAATAAAAGCTTTCAGTTCATCAAGCAGATGTTTAGGCGGGTACTCAGCTTTAGTGGCGTAGTCACAGTAGGATATACCATGGGCACAGAGGTCATTGACTTCAGCAACAGCAGGTAGAATGGACGCCTTCACTAATACCGAAGACGTTGAATTGGTCATCTCGAGGGTTCAGACGAATTTTGTCCTGGTAAATTCCCCTGGTGACTCCTTTCCGTCTCCGGGATTTAACAGGACTGGAAAATAATTCGACGGGAGTCCCTAAAGGTTCCCATTGGTTGTTGGTCGATAATTATTTTAAAAGGGTGGGTATTCAACACGTCTTATATTCTCTTCGCAAGATGCGTTAAGTACTTGTGACTCCACGCACGCAGTTCGCTCCCTTGGTCAAAGTTTAGAGGGACAAGTTTGCAGTTAAGATCCATACCTAAAAAATTTGGAGGCTCTTTATAAAAAGGGCGTCAAGACCTTTATTTTACATTAAACTTATTTCGTGTATATAGCGCTTGTATGTACCCTAGCTTTTGTCACGAAGAAATAGTTTGCTACTTTAACACATATTTCTTATAAATTCTTAAAATCAAGCATTAAATTCTGCATAAATAACCATAAATTATACTATAACTTGATTTTACACATAATAATAGCTACAGTTGGCATACCTTTTTATAGTTAGCTCTAAAAAAAAATAGTTAAGGAGATAACCTTGTTAAAAAGGTAGCACCTAATTATACTATTGCTTGGCTGATTCATGCATGCAATCACTTGTTAATAAGAAGCGCTTAAAATTCTGAAAGTTTGATGATATCTCTAATATTTTTTTAGTCGTGCTGTGTTAGTGAAGACCCTCCCTCGCGTAGTCTCCCGAATTGATGTACCGCGTGTAACAATGAGATTGATATAAAAAGTAAATTTATTAATCAATTCTACGACTATACCCGGAAAAAAAGGACAAGAACGGGGCAACAGCTTAGAAAAACTATGTGCTACCTTATTATTGGCTAGGATATTCATACATCATTGTAATAGATAAAGGGGATAGTAAGAGCACATAAAAGGGGAAGAAAAAAAAAATGAAAATACATACACTTGAGTTTTTGTTTTAATGTAAATTTTTTACTTTCTGCTCACTCTGCCCTCGGTAAGCGTAGTATAATATATACTAACTATAGCACCTACGCCAACGAGATGGGAGTAGGAAAGAGACAAAATGGGTTTATCGAACCGCTAACACCTACACCTGTATAATAAAAGTTAGGTAGGAAGTTTAGTTATACAAGCATTTATACACTAATCTTTAAAAACATTAAATGCACCATCTGGTTTTTATAATAGCCGTCATTGGCTCTAATTATCATGAGATCGCGTAGGTTTCTCATGACACGCCTGTAGTTAAGCCGTGCAAACTATTATCATTCTTACTGTAACACTTTATCTTTTACCAATCTTTTAGCGGTAATGTAATAATAGTTTGTCCATGTTAAAAATTTCCAAGATGCTTACATATACATTAGTAGAAAAATTAATGTTTACAAAGTTACCTAACACATGGTAATTTAAATAAGCTTAACATGCTTTACAGCATCTGCTTTAACTCAAAGTCTAAAAAAACGAAATCTTAAAGACTTATTAGATACTAAAAAAACCATATGAAAACTTAGTTAAGTACAATAAAGAAGGTGCAACGCAAGTAAGTTATAAATAAAAGGCCAAGTCTGGTCCCCTACTATTTATACTATGGTGTTGTCCTTAATACTCATGACCTTTAAATTAATAAAGTAGTAGTGTTAAAAATATCTTGGAAAATTAAGTTTTTTGACTGGAAATACTTAAAAAACACTAATAAATATACATTATTCAGCTTATTGTGAAGATAAACGAAGTTTCGACCTAGCTTTTTATAATTAGGAAAAAAAGGCGTATCACAAGGATATTTTTTAAAAATAGTAGTTAGCGCGTTACATAAAGCGTCTAAATTTAAAAACTTTTATTCTCAGGTCTTCAACAGAATGCAAGGCTACACACAACAAAGTATTAGATAAATCTGTGTATTTGCTGTATTACACCCATCTCTAGTTGTTTTTTTAAATTTCAATAAAATTAACTTTAATGTTATATTTAAATAACAGATGTTAAATAAACTTGCCACCGCACCCGCTTGAGCTGGTAGCAAATGCGTATACATAGGGGGTTTTTATATTCAAAAACACTTAAAGACCTAACCAAGATAAATAAGTAACAACTTAATATCTGTCTCCCTTTTATTGTTATAACTTTACATAAGTGCAACATACTTAAAATACTTTGTTTAATTCGTACTTAAATAACTGGACTAAAACTTTTTCTACTATTTTGAAAGTAGTATTTCAGTTATATTATTAATTTAATTTATGCGTATATTTTAGAAGTAAAACAATCTCCCGTTCATATTGAGTATATTTTATTAAAAATCTATGTAAATGCTTATATAGCATTTTTACAAATTTAAGAACGACTATTGTGCTTTGTATGACATATTTTACTAAAAAAATTTATATTTTATTGGTTTAGGATATTTGAGTTCATGGCGTTTATTTTTTTATGCTATTACGTATGGCTTCATTCAGGGTTTCTTTTTAATTGTTACAGCGAAAAAAATTTAATAAAATTAGTTCAAGAAATATTATGTATAGATTAGCAGCTTATTTATTAAATTAGTTGTAGAGTTTGTGTACCCTACAATGGTATATTTCTTTCTTCTACTTATTTGGTTAACTATTTTATTGCTACTCCCTTTACTCCTCATAGATCATATTTAAAACGCAAGCTACGTATTCGACATAGATCAAAGCTGATTCTGCTATTATATGATAAGGGGCTTATTTAGGCTATTCATCTCTATAAAAGCATTTCATCTTTAAAGTCATACCATAAAACAAATTTAATTATAGTAACTGAATAAAACATCTTTAGAATTGTGGTAAAATTGGCAACAGCGTAACGCAACAGGAAAACTAGAGAATGTCTGTCCGGCTATCAGTCGTTAACGAATAATTTACTTTAGCAAACTAATTTAAATTAGAACCGCAAACACAATAAGTGCAACAAATTTCCAGTTGTCGCCAAACCTGGGTTTGAATAACTGTAAGAAGTACAAAATAGCTGTAAATATATAACAAGAGTTTTTTTTAGGAAAGTCATATTATTTGTATTATATTAAAACAGGATTATTTTCGGTTGACAAGAGAACTAATTGTTTAATTATTTTGCGGATTAATAGTTAGTAACTTATTATTGGTTAAAAAGAATAAATTATTAGAAGACAATAAATTGGATTAGTTCGACTCTACGTATAAGTGGGCCAGATTCAACAAATTTTATAAGTATCTTGCTTACAATTGTTGTAAGCTTTTAATTTTTTTTCCATATAAAGCTAACCATTAAATTTATTAAAAATTCGCTAAAATTTACCAAGAAAAGTGTATAAATATATTAATTACCATTCCACGGATAAAGCAGTGATTTCCCCACATTACCACCTAGTATTACTTTGAAATGACGCCATAGGTCAAAAAGTGTTTTTAGTGTACATTTCATTATGAAATTTAGGCTATCGTTATGGTAAAAAAAGTTAGAAGTTAAACTTTTTTCATTTATTGTAAGAAATTTGTTTTTAACGTCGAAAAATAACCAATAGGGACTTAATATTAGAGTGCTTGAGTAACTTGCCAAATTTAACTGTTTATTGGGTCAAAAAAAAAAAATTGTCTTTAGCATTTAACAGAACCCGTGCGAGCACAATCCATGCACTTTTTCTCCTCCAGGCCTTCATACAAAGTTAATCAACTTTTAGTAACTATTTCAGTTATAATTTTAGTTGGTGATAAATGTGACATCTGTAGATTAATCTAATAATAAAAAGAAATGTGACGTAAATATTTTTATTCGTATATTTTAACGCCATATAATTCTATAGAGCATTGTAAGTAAATAATAAATTATATATACCAAAACACAACACTAACGTTTTTATGTTTACCTTAATGAACGTAATAAATGGTTAAAAAATTTTTAAAAGGCTTACATAGCAACCAAATAAAGGTATAGTACAAATAAAAATATTAAACGTACAGGTATCCTTAATATTACTATATAGCATTGTTTAAAACTAATAAATTTATCATGGAATGTATTTAAGCGTATACTAAATATATTTATTTATAAAATGGAAATATAGACTAATTTATTTCAAATTATGTCTGATGATATGTAGAAAAAGTAATGGAAGAACATTATACTAAAAAGCTCAAGTTTTCATTCCAGCCCCCTCCTGAGGCTTACACTTATTGCCCCACAGAAGAGGAATTCCGCGATCCCCTAGAATTTGTGAGAGCTATCAAATCATCAGTCCTTTGGGATATGCAAAGTTAAAAATTCAGGCACACTGCTATAGTTGTACTGTAGAAAATTATAAAAACCTTTATAAATCGGATTTATAATTATTTTTTTGCCTTTACAATAGTTAATTTTTGCTTAGTTTCTTGGTTTGCATAAATCTCTGTTTTCCTCCTGTTGTAAGTATTACTATAGCCTTTTTACTTAGATCATTCCCCCTTCCAGCTGGAAACCACATTTTGCGCTTGATTCAAATTCTTTTAAATTTGACACCAGAATTCAAGCTTTAGGTGAACTAGGTGTGGACGCCCGTCTTGAATTACAATTTTTAGAAAAGTACGGTTTGTTTAAATAATATTGTAAATTATTTTCGCTTAACTTAATGGCTTCTGGCCCTCAAGTTATAACACTTTTTTTTGTTGTTTAATATCCAGCTTAGAAAAGTACAATAGTCTTAGAGGAGTACCCTTTACTCGCAGCTGTAATGTCAGCAAAAAACCTCTTAACTTTTTTCAATTGTACCGGGAAGTCAATAATAATGGAGGTTGTTAAAGTATGTTTTTGCATCTATAATGCTTATTTTTTTAAAGGTTTTAGTTCCGTGGTAAAAAAAAAATTATGGATGAGAATAGGGAAAAAGTTGGGGCTAAATAAAACTACCTGTATAAATACTTAGTATTTATTGTTTAAAAAAAATAGTAGTATTACTTTTACATCTAGGCACTTCCATGTCTAATCAACTTCGTACAGCATATGAAAGATATATTCTGCCTTTCGAAAAATATAGTACACTTTTTAAAGCGAGATATTGACTTTACTAGATTTCTTTTAAGAAAACGCTATTTGCGAGCTTAAGGAGGAGCATGAACATTGCTTAAGCCTTAACAAAAAAAACTTCTCAGTTTACAAGAGGAATAAACCCGGTAGACTTCTTTTAACCCCTATAATGTTAAATAAAAATTTTGTAAAGAAATCCCGGATGACTGTCTCAGAGATTGTTCTTTAAAGCGTTCATCGGAGACTTCACCCGTCACTGTGTGTAAAGTTTGCGTTTTTCTGCGCACATCTCTCGCCTATTTAAATTTAACCCGTTTAGGATGATATTGAGAAAGAAAAAGTAGACTCCTATGGATTCCCCCCCGGAAGTCACTACACACTTACTACTTTCAAAATTAAAGCGGACAACTTTAAAAAAAACTACTTCGGAACGTTGGTTAATAGCAATAACCTTATTTCTTGGTGGCTTCTCATTAGTTTTCTATCAGGCGGTACCTTCCAGCCAAGTAGAGTTGGAGTTTTGGGATATAATAAAGCGGAGAAGAGCCGTTTCTGTAGAATATGGAGCCGATTTGCAAACATCCAAACTTGGGAGTGGTTTTCCAAGTGCTCGGTAATCCTCTCTTACCTCTTTTTGAGTCTTTTATGATAGGATACTTATGGTAGACACATGACCGACCATCTAAGTCATTACGATGCCTCGCATGGTTGGAACTTAAACAACTTGCCGTTGCATAAAAACTGCGTCCTTTCTGGCTTTGGCTCAAATATCTCCGGCATGACGGTTTCTTATTTGTTGATACTGACTTCTCTGCAGTCTCGGGGGTCGCTCTTACGGGTTACATTGCCATAGGTGCCGTGGCTGTACGTGGGTATGTGCTTTGCGACGTTCTGCTGGCACGTTGAGGACCATTATACGTACTCTGTCAACTACCTTCACAAAGGCGACAAGAAAATATGGTCATACTGTTTTCTCGCTCTTAGATCTTGTTAAAAAAGGTTTGCAGGTACGGAGTCCCCGGGCATGAGGGCGGAAACTTTGAGACTGTGGCACGCAAACTTATGCCTGCTCTATTCGAAGAGCAACCGGACCTGCTGTGCCATCTAACAACCATGATCCATCCGAATGTCTTGATGGTTCTCAGGCCGCCCTTTCATAAGAATAATTTTTTCATGGTGTCCCAAGCAACAAGGCATCCCGGTCTACAGGATTGAGCAAAATCCAGGAGAGTTTGTAATTACGTTCCCTAGAGCGTATCATGCCGGTTTTAACCAGGTTGTAGTCTACCCTTCATGTTCATTAAAATTTGTCACAATTTGCTCTTCAGGGCTTCAACTTTGCAGAGGCGGTCAACTTCACTCCTGCTGACTGGATTCCTTGGGGAAGGCAATGTGTCAGTGACTACACAGCCATTGGAAGGTAATAATGTCTCATTTAGTGACTACGGCGTGTACTACCGGCTACTCTTGCAGGCACCATGTCTTCTCTCATGATGAAATGCTATGCTTTATTGCTTCCAAAGCTGTGGGTCTTACCCCTGAACTTGCAGCCGTACGTTTATTTTAAACTTAGTGATCTCGTTCTATTCGTTCCCCAAACTTGCAGTACGTCGCAGCAGACTTGTACACCTCTATACAATTAGAAAAGGAAGCAAGGAAGAAATTTTTGGCGTACACTAATTTTCCGCGGGACGCAAAAATTTTGCAAACAGCTTCAATAGAATTTGAGAAAATTCCTGATGAAAAGCGAACCTGTAAATATTGTAGATGCACATGCTTCCTATCTGCCGTTGTGTGTATCTCCTGCGACATCTACGCTGACTGCCACGTTGAAACAATATCCTTATGGCACGCTCAGTCATTTGCTCGCGATCGACTTGTAGGAGGCGACTCGCAAGGCGGTTGCCTTTCGCCTTCTTGGAAGCACGTGAGTTGTCTGACGCATCTGACTGACTTGTGCTCGTGTCCGCTTTCCATGAAGTTCCTCCTGTACAGGTTTACGGCCTTGCTTTTCATTGCACAAGCTCGAGATAAACTTTATTCACTAACTTTCTCAAAAGATACACCATGGAAGAGTTAAACGTGCTATTAATTAATATATGCGGACGAAATAAAGCTAGCGTCTGAGCGGGACAGTTACTCATTTTCTGTCACGAAGTGCAATAATTAAAAATAATTTCTCTTTTCCACGTATTGGAAGCATAAGCTAATAAACATCGAAATGGTAGATATGTCGCTGGCTTTCGCTTTACTGCAGTTTAGTTAGCGAACTACATGTTAACTGAGGAGTTACTCCCTGTTCAACTATTCTTCTTCCATTCGCCGAGTACAGAAGTTTGTACTGTAGACGTATCGGTTTCTACATAAGGGTAAGAGGGGCCCATTGTTTGCTAGCGTATTAAGTAAACAGTACTTTCGTTGGATTAGTAACGGAGAAGCGCTGAGTTATTATTCCAGGTCCGTTAAACGGGTTTTTAGCAAGAAGAATTTGGCCTGACGGTGATTCTAAGTGCGAGTTCATAACCTACTTAAAACCATTGGAAAGCAAAGGTACATATAGAGCGGCAAGCGCGGGAAAGCGTACTTTTGGTACGGCTATTAAGAAGATCACATCCTCGCAGACCCATGAAGAGTCGTTTTTAAGTTGTATCTGCGCCTTCAATGTCATCGCTTGGGCCGTTTTAGTAATTTCGTAATATATCGTTATAGAAATCTACAGCAATTCTAAATATAGTTCTGCACGCGTAAATAGGGAAACCAACGCCGTTTCTATCCAGAATAACTACGCTGAAAAGTTCAGAAGGGATTGTAGCTGGGAAAAAAGTTAAACTAAAAATAAGCCAGGCCGGTTAATGCGGCGGCGAAGAAACAGACCAGCTTCCTCCAGCCCCTGATCTCCAAAGTCGATCAACACATTACTCCTCGGTTTCTTGCCGAGCCGCACAAACTGATCGTATAGCTCCAACGCATCTATCAGTTTGCTGTATATATTAAGAACAAACTCTGCAAAAATACGTCAGTAGCAACGTGCCATATAAGAGAAATAACAATTAACCAACCGATGTCTTCATCTCTTTCGAGTTCTCTGCAGAGATTAGCCAATCTGGGCTTAACTCCTAGGAGGGCCTCGCAGATTTCCTGAGAAAAGTGTTATTTTGATATAACAAATATCTAAAACTATTTTTACTTCCAGCACTTCCTTATGCTCCAGTGTGTCCTTTGAAGCCTCCAAAACCTCAACAAAGATTCGGATGTTTTCCCTGACAATGTTTAGATCATCCTTTAACTTTTCCTTGTTTTTTTCTTCTGTATACTCCTAAATGCGTGGAACTTAATAAATAATTTAGTATAAATTAAAAAAAGTAAACTGTTTCAAAAATCTCTTTTATAAGCAGGTTGGCAGTAGTTAGGTCGGCGGGATCTTTGCTTTGAAGAAGTCTAGGCAAAATCTTAGGGGTTGTAATATAACAGTCCCCCAAAAAAAACAATATTGTTAACTTTGCTAAAAATACAATTGTTTAAAAACTAGTTATTTTATTTAGCTTTCATCAAATCTTTCTAAAAAAAAAGTTACATGTTCCGATTCAGATTTCGGCGATAAAGAGCTCTTATACTTCCATTGTAAAAACTGTTTAAAATTACACGGTTTTTTGGTAGTTTTGTCAACGTTAATTACATATATTATTTAAATAGAAAAAAGAAATCCTAAGTTACATTTTTATCAAAACTAGTTGCGTCGCGGCTAAGGGAGGTTAAGGGGTAACCTGAAACAAATTTTTTAACGCCAAAGCTTCTCTACCTCTTTCACCTGTATACACAAGATAGACCTTGACGCTCAAGCGTCGCACAGACTTCCAGAATTTTCGGTAGTTGTAAGTTAACACGCCACTTGCTCATCAGAAAGAGGATCCTGTCCCTGACTTTTTCTGGAGTGTTTACATAACCATGCTAGAGAAAAAAAAATTCAAACAAAACATTTCTATGTTCAATTTAAAGTAGTTTAAAACGTAACCTTCTTCGAGACAAGTTGAGTTAACTCGTTTAGAAATTTAAACTTTCCAATTACTCGATAAAAGTGTGGCCCGCAATTTTCCACGCAAGCATCCAATAGCTAATGGAAAGCATAACAAAGTACTAAGGTACAACAACTCCGAAAACGCAAATATGATGAAATCTGTCTTACACACTTACAGTAAGTGCGTGCAGGGCAACTTTTTCGCTACCTCTAAGATGTTCAATTACAAAGGAAGTCACTATATGCGGCCCTTCATCGAAGCTTTTAACAGCATCGCAGACATCAATAACATACTGCCTACCCCAGAATATCTTCTTAATATTAAAAACTAGTGAATTATGTCACACAGACTAAATATACCAAACTTTAAAACCTAGAAAGTTTGTATTTTAATAGTTAGTAATAACTAACCAATTTATTTGCTCTAATAGAGGATTCGTTGCTCTGTCAATTAATTCGCGCAACTGAGTTATATCTGTCATTAACTGCCAGGTTTAAGCCTACGAGACAAAGAACTAATATATAGAGTTAAAAGAAGATACAACTTGATTAGTAAAAACGATAATTGTGTTCTAAAAAGGTAATATAACCTAAAAATTAATGGTATATCCAAACATTTGAAACCATAACGAGGCCTCCGTGATTTAAAAGGAGATTGCATATTGTAGTTTACTGTTACTAATGGTATTATGGATATAAACTATGAAAACCTCCAGCGGACGGGTAACCTCACGATCACACCACTGCCTGGGAATTATAATGCGCATATTCATTACAATTAAATGTGCTTTAATTTCATTTATTTTCTGCAAACTTGCTTTAAGGTTGTTTAACTTTAGTGTGCTTTAAGTAAAAAATAAGTTTTTAATAATTTTAAACTTTACAAGTTTATTTTGTTTAAAAAAAAATTTCATATGCAAAAGATAAAAAGGTTTACTTTTATTAAATAACTTTACTTTTATACACTTCAGAGCAGCATGCTATAATATGTTTCTTTTATAGCCAAACTAGAGAAAAATGGTTTTTTTTTGTTTCTAAACTTGACTACATGTGCTCCTAAAAATTAAACCATTATGCTTAACTTGAACATCAGGCCGGCATGTAAAAATTAACACTTTTGAAAAGTCCGTTTGTAAACTGATTAACCATGCGACTGCTTTGAGTAATCTCAACTCTTTTAAAGTTGCGATAAAATAAAGAAAAAGGTATGATGTCGTAATTTATGACGCTAGTAATACAATTACTTGTAATTTTTTAATTTAAAAAACCGTTTCGCGAAGTTCTTAAGATTTAAGTTTAGCACAAAAAAGAGTAGAACTATTACTTTATAAAATTACTTAGCACTACACCCTACAGGCTTTAATCTCTCAGGCGGCTATGCTGTTTTAAGATATTTATACGCTTCTTGGGCGATTATTGACACTTTTTATATAATGTAATTAGCTCTTTCTTAATGTACACGCAAAGTTAATTCTGTCATCACCTCATTTAACTGAAGATGCACATGGCTAACATATATTAATGAAAGTTAAAAACACATTTACATATCTTTAACCATTAAAAAAGGTTACGGAATAATTAAATTAACCCTCTCGAAGCGAGAGGGAGCTCACAAGCGGATTGCAAACGAGCAAAATAGAAGCTTTCTTAATGATAAATTACATTATGTACATAAAAAAGGACCTAAATTATTAACTATAGGTTCAAATAAAATGTAGCAAGTCTAAGAGTTTATCGCTCGTTAATATGTACACATACCACAAAACTAGTGTGCACAAAAAAAAAGGATCATTAGGGCATTTCAAGAGGGACAGAATACTTTACTAGGGGTACACTTAATGTTTTTATAGTATGAATGAGAAAAAGAAGGAGAGCGGTAAATAAAATTACCCAATAGAGGAAGGGTAATTACACCTTCAGGGAAGTAAACCAGAAATGAAGCACAGGATAGAATACGTGCGAGGAGCTCACGCGGTACCTAAAAGACGCAAGGGGATCGGATGGCACCTGGTAGAATGTAACACGAGGTATTAGCACGTCATTTTAACAGTTAACTTCAATTTAGTTTGTACGCATATACCACTTCGGTTTCTCATGATGCTAAGGGTTTTTGCGCACCTTTGTGACGGATTGATTAGCTACTCAAATCGGTATTTCAACCCCTTTGGCAAATGGATTGTTTTGAAACCGAAATATTCATAAAGAGTTCGACTCAGCAATAACTACCGGGAGTTTTAGCGCTGTACGTGGTATTTCAGTAGGCCTTTTTTTTTTTCCATTGAAAAGAGATGCTGGACACACCACTCAACGCCAAGCTGGAAAAAAATTTTCTTTTGCAACATTAACAAAAGTTTCAAAAAATCTTTTTAAACATCCTGAGTAAAACCTCTGAAGAGCATTAAAATTTTTAATACTCCATCGGAAATTACTTATTACTTTAATACCTCATTTGCAACCGATCATTTTTTTCTTGCTGGAGATAGGGCGAAAGCTCAGGTATGACTTTTAATAGGATAGCTATATTTCTGTTCGTAGCTTGCAACTATTCCTCTTATGGCCGTGGTTCAGAAACGTATATATGTCGCGCGCATTTGGAGTATGGTTAAAATAAAAGAGCTGTATTAATTTTAACCCATTTTTTATTTTCCGAATAGCCTTCATCGGTTTACCTTCCATTGGGCTTCTGCTATCCCCCCTTTTAGGAAAACTGTCAAAATTTGGTTCCTGAACGTTAATGTTATCAAATTGAGTTGGATACTATAAAAATTTTGTTAAGGTATATTTTGTTAGTTTCCTCTCAAATTTATTAAGTAGAGAGTTCTAAGCTATAGAAGGAGAAGGTGGTGGTGATCACCTAACACAAGGAATTGGGTGTCCTAGACAAAGCTGTAAAATAATGAGCTTTCAGCTTTGGACTTAAAATAATTTTGGCTCGGACGAAATAGGATGTTTACGTGAGTAGACTCAGTCACAACTCAATCTAGAATCCAAGGCCTAAAACCTAGATCACCCCATGTTTGACCTCTATAAGTATTAAAAAACAATAAGTAAAAAAATTTATAAATGATTAAAAAGAGTTTCTATATGTTTATTTTAATGATAATTAAAGAAATTAATAATAAAAAGAATAAGGTAACGTACCGAACCGGTTTTAACAGCATAAATACCTAGCGTATGTGATCCCCATTCCTCTTTTGATCGCACTCAATGTGCACATCATAAAGGGTGACCGATTTAGGGAATTACCCATTCCGTAAATGTTTATAAAAAGTCCTCGTCATGATTGAGTAATGTTGTATATCTTCTATTTTAATGTCCTCATTATCAAATGATACTTATTTTACGTGCTTAGACGTCCTAATGTACTCAATATTATTTGCAGTAAGAACTAAAAACTGTTATAAACATTACGGGTAATACGAGCACGCTTGTTTTAGCTTTTAACATTATTAAATTCGATTTTGTAATATAATACTATTAATATGTTACATCAGTTAAAAAATTATTTATTCGTTATGAAAATGCCAAATAATATTTTTTTTAAATATTACCGGCAAATAATCCCATTTAAATCCTTGATGACTACTTTAATAATCAAATGCAAGTGGTTTATGCGCTACTATTAAGTATGCAGTCTAAAAAAATAATTCTTTTCTTTAATTTTTGTTAAAATTCCATTTTCAAAATTATTTTTTAAGATCCCATATGTTTGAACTGTGTCAGAAAAGAACTTAGAAAAAGGTTAGAAAGGCCAACAATAGACAAATTAAAAAGAGGACTAAATAGAACCCACTTTTTATGTTTTTATCAATAATTAGTGCAGATGCTCGGTAAAATCAAGTGCAGTCGACTTAGTTTTGCTAATAAGTTAGGTTATTTTGCTAGTGGATAATACTGTTATTTTTAATTAATGGTACTTTGTTCTCTGTGAAACGCACTCAAAACCTTTTTGAACTTTTTCAACCAAAATTAAATTATTTCGAAAATTCGTATCAGTAAGTGTTTTATTTTAATTATTTATAGTATTAACCACAATTTTGTTTTTCTTTATAACCGTTTACAGATTATCATCTTTATTAAAGGGGGATAAGCACTGTGTACTTAAAATCAATTCATATTTTAGCTTTCCGGATCGCTAGGTTTTTCGCATTGGTATATTCCCATATTAAGGTTTTGGTGAGCCCTTATGAATTTTTGTATTTATTAACTTACCTGGATTAAAGGTTCTTTCTAGTTCGTCGCATCTGTTAGGAGTAATATACTAACGAGTGTAGCTTCTTTAGTAAATCGGGACTTAGTTGAGTTTGTCTGAGTGAAGGGTTTAAAGAGTCTTATCTAGTGTCAGCCTAGAGTTTCAACTTAACGAGGACATTCCAGGCGTGATGATAGTCAACAGTGTTAGTATTGTTGCTATAATATCGCTCCAATGAGATGGTATTCTACTACTTATTCAGTTCATTAAAGGCGAGGATAAATGTAAAAATTAGCTATTTTCTTAATATTAAAGTTGTCAACGATTTATAAATTGATGAACTGCATCATTCTTTTTTTTCGAACCGGTGCAGCGTTCAAAATTTTTATGCATAAAGGTTATATGTAAGGTCATATAAAAGTGCTTCAACGTTTTAAATTGCAAGTTTGGGTTCAGTGACCTTAAGTCTTCCATAATTTCTAGGTGAAGACTTGTATATAAACTAGAATTCCTAGCTAAACTTTTCTCATTCTTTGATTTATAAAGGCCTCAGCTTCAACCAAAAAATTTTAATTTAAGAGAGGTCAACAATGCCAGAATTATTAAGGTTAATTTAATATAAATTAGCTATTGATGAAGATAAGATTTAGTTTTTAGCAAAGAGTCTTGCCGTAACAGTGACCCAGAATACATGAGGTTAAAAAATGAGATGTAATTAAAGTGTTAAGAAAGGGGTAAGTAGTTATTAGAAATTCAACATGAGATAAAAAAATAAAAGGGTACAATAGTTTGAAAATTTAAAATAGTTCTTAAGTGCTAACAATGTATTACAAGGCAACTAGGAAGAAGGTCAGAAATGCGAAGAGGAAACAAATAAAAGAAAGAAAAATTTTAAAAAAAAAGGGGGTTGTGATAAATATATATTTTCCTAGTGTTCCGGATAATTTTAAAGTTACCTGAAATGTTCGAAGCAATCCTTTAATCTTTTAGGGCATTGAAATATTTGCTAACATGCGCTTACCAAGGGTATAAATGACCCTCTGCAAAAACTATACAGGTTATTTCAGTGTGTGCTAGAGATTGCATGGGGGATAAAGTGGATTGGGTGTTTCTGCTCGTGCATGTACATATCAAGTTAGCAACGCAACTAACATTTAGACTTATAAAAGCGAGATTATTGCGCAATTATTAAAGATCGAGACTAGGGTGTCACCCGCCAGGAATCGTCCCTTAACCTTGAGTCTAAGTATCAGAGCTCTATTGGTGAGCCTACGGTCACAACCCCCAATTTAGGTATGTGGATTTACATATTTTACCTGTTACAGGCCCTTGCGATTATTAAATGTGGTATGTACAATTTAATACTTTACATTACCTAGTATAATTTCATTTGCTTTTTACATAATCAGGCATAACATTTTTTTAATTTTAATAAAAATATTACTCTACATCTATTATACAC